TTTTTGAATGGTTTGGTGAAGTGTAGTCACCATATAAATGCACCTAGTCAAGGCATATTTTTGTATAGGGTATAATGCCTCGGATGTATTTTTTGAATGGTTTGGTGAAGTGTAGTCACCATATAAATGTACCTACTCATGGCATATTTTTGTGTAGGGTATAATGCCTTGGATGTATTTTTGGCATGTAAGGAAGTGTAGAATCTGTTTTGAATCTGGTAAGGTGAAGTGTAGAATCTGTTTTTAATGTCAAAAGATGAAGTGTAGAATCTGTTTTGAAGATCAAGTGTAAATTCTGTTTTGAAATTGGAAAGATGAAGTTTAGGATATGTTTTTGATTTGGAAGGTCAAGTGTAGAATCTGTTTTTAAATTCAAAAGATGAAGTGTATAAAGAATTTAAAAGTAATAAAAGCTCAAGATGTATAATCTGTTCTGAAATTGGAAGCTTCAAATGTAAATTCTGGTTTGAATTTAGAAGAGTAATGTATACTCCGTAATAAAGTGGACAAACATTGAAGGAGGGAAGGAGTATGAACATAGGTGTTGCTCTTTAACAGACACTGCCTTCACAACTAATGCTAATAAGATGGTGAAATCACTTCAACATTCATTCACAGAATGGAGCGACAAACACCATGAAAGGTGGGGGTTACACAGCATCATCATAGACCATAATCTTAACGGGATGATTCATCATAGACCATAGTCATATACACCCAAACACACACTTATACTTAAACAGCATCCCCACAACGAAAACAAACAACAGAATCACACGTTTAAATGGGAAACACAGAATGCAGCGACAAAACAACAAGACAATCATAGGTTTCAGTACTACTCATACGCAAAAATGAGAGTAGAGACAAAGTACTTCCCTAGACGAAGAAACGTGGGAACCAGATATGAAGCAAAGCCTTTGTGGATGAGCTGTGCCATGCCTCAGGCACTTTTCCCAACTTCGGGTCATATTGTAAGCTAGCAAAAGCACTAAATGGATCCTCATCAACCCTTGCTTGGAGGAATGCAGGTTTGTCCACAGCCTCCACCTCCAAATTCAGGGACTCAGATTCTTTTTGGGAGTCAGGGTTAGAGAACCTGTCATCATCCTCCCCTTCTTTAGAGTCTAGAACAATGAATGAATCATCATCATCCCCTTCTTCAGAATCTGGAACAATGAATACCTCAACATAGTCTCCTTCTTCAGAATCTGGAACAATGAATGCCTCATCATCATCCCTTTCTTCAGAATCTGGAACAATGAATCCCTCATCATCGTCCCCTTCTTCAGAATTTGGAACTATGAATGCCTCATCATCATCCCTTTTTTCAGATTCTAGAACAATCAACTCCTCATCATAGTAACCATCTTCCGAATCTGGAATAATCTCATTCACCTCCTCATCGCAATCCTCTTCTTCGGAATCTGGAACAATCAGATCTCTGTCACCATCCTCTAGATGATCTTCGCAGGTAGGAAATTCATCCTCCCCGGCAAAGGGCGACTCATCTGCTTTGAAGACAGTGATCGCACCATCCATGCAGAGGCTTTTCTTCTCAAATTGTGTTTTGGGAATGAAGAAGGCAGATTCCTGATCGGAAGACATGTCAGGTCCACTCCTCATATCAAAATCTAGGGTTTCTAAGAAGAAAAAATATGTGAGGAAGAGTGAGAAGGTGATTAGATCAGAGTTGTAGAGGAGGAAGGGTGAGAAGGTGAAAAATCGGCGATGGAGACGAAGATGGAGATGAATAGGAGTAAGAAGCAATCGGTGGAGGTGATGAAAAAGAGAGATGAGATGAGAGAAAATGAAAAGGATTAATTTTGGGTGGATGGAACGGGTGGGTGAGTGGGTGAGGAATTGATTGTAGTGGATGGAGTGAGAAAGGGTAAAGATGGAAAGTTGTAAATTAATTATTGCCAAATTAGGAAAGTGGACAAATATTAAGGGACAGCCAAAAATGGAATACTGGACAAATACAGAGGGACGGAGGGAGTAATAATTTAGACATTATTGACAAGTATTCTTGATATAAAACTTTAAAAAGGATTTTACATACAAATAGAAATATCCAAAACAATTTTCGTAACTTTTTTGATGAATTTAAAATTTGGCCAAAAAATTTACCCCTAGCGCTCGAGGCCAAAACTAAGAAAAATAATAATTTAGATATTATTGACAAGTATTTTTGACATCAAACTTTTATAAAGGATTGTACATGCAAATAGAAACATCCATGATAAATTTGGCAACTTTTTTAATAATTTAAAATTTGGCCAAAAAATCCCTAGATCTCGAGGCTAAAACTAATAATAATAATTTAGACATTATTGAAAAATATTTTTTACATGAAACGCTTACAAAGGATTTTAGATGCAAATAGAAGCATCCATGTCAAAATTTGTAACTTTTTTGATGGATTAAAAATATGGCCAAAAACTGTGATGGTACCCCTAAGAGCTCGAGGCCAAAACTAAAAAGTACGGAGTAATAATTAACACGTTATTGACAAGTCTTTTTTTACATTAAACTTTAACAAAGGATTTTGCATGCAAATAGAAACATCCATGTCAAGTTTGGTAACTTTTTTGATAGATTTAAAATTTAACCAAAAAATATGATGGTACTTGTAGAGCTCGTGGCCAACACTAAAGAAATAATAATATAGACATTATTGATAAGTATTTTTGACATCATACTATTAGAAACGATTTTACATGCAAATATAAATATCAATGTCAAATTTTGAACTTATTTGATGAATTTAAAATTTGGCCAACAAGGGTGATGATACGCCTAGAGCTCGAGACCAAAACTTAAAAAATAATATTTTAAAAATAATTGATACATATTTTTGACATTAAACTTTACAAAGGAATTTACATGCAAATAGAAATATCCACGTCAAATTTCGCAATTTTTTTGATGAATTTAAAATTTGGCCAAAAAAATGTGATGGTACTTCCTAGCGCTTGAGACCAAACTAAAAAAATAATAACGTATACATTATTAACAAGTATTTTTGACATGAAACTTTTACAAAGGATTTTACATGCAAATAGAAATATCTATGTCAAAGTTTGCAACGTTTTTGATGAATTTAAAATTTGGCCAAAAACTGTGATGGTACCCCTAGCGCTCGAGGTCGAAACTAAAAAATAATAATTTAGACATTATTGACAAGTAATTTTTGACATCAAACTTTTAAAAAGGATTTTACATGCAAATAGAAACATCCATGATAAATTTGGCAACTTTTTTGATAATTTAAAATTTGGCCGAAAAGCACTAGAGCTAGAGGCCAAAACTAAAAATAATAATTTAGACATTATTGAAAAGTATTTTTACATGAAACTTTTACAAAAGATTTTAAATGCAACTAGAAGCATCCATGTCAAATTTTGTAACTTTTTTTATGGATTAAAAATAGAGTAAATTCCATAATTGGTCCTTTTTTTATCAAGTCGTTTTTTACATTAAACTTTTACAAAGGATTTTTTACATGCAAATAGAAACATACAAGTCAAATTTGGTAACTTTTTTTATGAATTTAAAATTTGGCCAAAAAATGTGATGGTACCCCTAGAGCTTGAGGCCAAAACTAAAGAAATAATAATCTAGACATTATTGATAAGTATTTTTGACATGAAACTATTACAAAGGATTTTACATGCAAATAAAAATATCCATGTCAAATTTTGTAACTTTTTGATGAATATAAAATTTGAACAAAAAGTGTGATTGTACCCTAGAGTTCGAGACCGAAACTTAAAAAATAATAAGAGTAAATTCACCAAATAGTCCTTTGTAATAAGGTGTTTTTTCAAATCAGTCCTCAATAAGTTTTAATTACCTAAGTGATCTTTTATAATTGAGATTTATTCCCAAGATGGTCTTTCGTAAATAATGTTACTCAAATTAGGATTAATTGAGGGTATTTTGATATGTTTTATCTGCTAAATTTAGAATTAATTTTTAAAACGATCATTTATAAAGAAGTGCTTTCCCAAAATGTTTTTTCTAATTATAGATGTGTATTTGATTTGAAATTTAAAATATTTTTTTATAAGTTTTAAATAATTCATGAATTATTTATAGTCAATATATTTTTTCAATTTTACATTTAGTTCTACAGAAATAACCATTTTAAGAATATACTTTAAATTTGGATGATCAAAATATCAAAATATCTCCCCATTATTCATCACTTGAGTAATATTATTTACGAAGGATTATCTTGAGAATACATCTCAATTATAAAGGACTATGCCGGTACAAAGTGTGGTACAAAACATGGGAGTACAAATAGCTTTACCCTAACACATTTTATAGTGTAAAAATGTACAGTATATTATTGGGAATGTAAGACACACGGGCCTAGGCCAAGCTGTCTAAGGTCGTCGTCTTGATAGCTCCGGTCCCACCTCCAACCATAACCACTCTTTCGTTCCTTCCTTCCTTCTCTTGGGCGGTACGAGTCTGCGAGCTCTAAGTAGTATCTCTCACTCTCAAAAAAGTACGCCACGCCCTCTACAGCATTATCAACGAAATGATAAATGGGTAAGGCCAGCAGATGGTTCCGCGCGCTTTTAGGATCCAAAAAGTCGTCTCCCGGATCGCCCAAGGCCAAGAAGAGCAACGCCAGGAACTCCGGTGGTGTCACCCGGGGGACCCACTCTCACAGGAACGGCGGCGATGCGTCGGCGCCCAAATCGCACACCTCGGACGCTAACAAGCACGCAATCGCTGTTGCCGCAGCCACTGCCGCCGTGGCCGAGGCTGCTCTTGCGGCGGCTCAGGCTGCCGCGGAGGTTGTGAGGTTGACCAGCGGAAATAGACCCGCCGCAGCCTACGTCAGCAGCAGCTTTGATCGCCGCCGTGAATGGGCTGCCGTTAAGATACAATCCGAGTTTCGAGCTTATCTGGTTCGCAATTAAGCGTAATAGATACACACAGTTGCAATTATAGGGAGTACTAATTAACTATGTAGTGATAAGTACTAATTTCAGTATAGTATGATAAAGATTTGATTTTTATGCGTGCATTCCATATCTGCAATCGCTTTAATTTCGATACTAAATATTGCAGTTCAATTTTGATACTATAGCTAGCCTATAACACCCTAGCTAGCTAGCTAGGGTCTGTTGTTTTGATACACCGCACTGTAGTGCTGCGTACTAGACATATATATGTATGAAAGCATGGAATGGTTTGAGTAGTTAGTAATGTTAAAAGCCTTAAAGGTGATGGGTGCATATATATATATACATATATGTATAGGCAAGGAGGGCGCTGAGAGCACTAAAGGGGCTTGTGAAACTTCAAGCGCTGGTTCGAGGGCGTATAGTCCGGAAGCAAAGTGCAGATATGCTTCGTCGCATGCAAGCAATGGCTCGAATACAGGCTCGAGCCTGCGCAAACCGATCTTTACTCTCTGATGCAAGCAATGGCTCAAAGATCCATCATCGGGTCAGTACGTATTATCAGCTCCTCTCTCAAAATGGTCAATATATAAACATGCAAATCATCATCTAATCAAAGTAAGAATAAGGAACAATCTCGCACATTTCAATGGCATGGGAAAACGATTGTAAACACCTGATGATGTGTTGCATGCCAAAGGCCATATAATTGCATTGTTTATAGGGACTAAATTTTGTTTACTAACTTTTCTGCAGGGCAGTTCATCTCTTAGTAGATTTGAGTACTTGCAGCAGCAGCAGCAGCATTCATGTAGTACTATTGATGGATCTAACCTAAAGGTTATCTCATTCTCCCTTCAAATTTAATCCCGAACATGAATCTTTTTCCCTATTTCCTCTCTTGTAGCTCTGTGATAGACTTCGTATTCGGGTTAGATCTAGTTGTGCTCAATTGAGCTGTAATATGCCCATATTGATGACTTCTGTTTTCATGTTAATGCAGAGGTGTTATTCAAAGTCAAACAAAGCCGAGAATATGAACATGGGGAGAATGGATTCAGGCTCAAAGTGGTTAGATCACTGGATGGAAGAGTATGCAAGGAACAATTCACATCTTCTTAACATGGCAAGGGGGTATGATGATGGTGAGAAGAGTGACAAGATACTTGAGATAGACAATGGGCAAGCATCAAGAACCTACTATAACTCTATGTCGTCAAGTAGTAATCTGAAGAAGCCAAATCCTGCCAGTCTATCATCGGGCGAAGTCTCATCATCTTCTCAATCCGTTAAATTCCCTCGTGAAGTGAATCAAGAAGGGAAATGGATGGTTGATCAGAGCCCATCAGCTGCTTTCCATTCTTCTTCTAAACATGGAGGTAGCAGTAGAAGTCACAGAGGAGGAGGGGGAGGAAGAGGACCCTTTACTCCTAACCGGAGCGAGTGCACCCAAAGCCTGTGTTTCAGTGACTTCCCAAATTACATGGCTAATACACAGTCATTCTCGGCTAAGGTGAGGTCCCACAGTGCACCCAGACAAAGAATGCAGCAGAAGTTGGTTACTGGTCGTTGTGACACGGACACGGTTTCAGAGAAGAGTTGGAGCATACGTGGTAACTTCATGGGCAAAGGTTATGCAGGGTCTGGACGCATGGTTATGCAGACCCATTTAAGTTCTTAGAGAAAAACACTGCTTCGAATTGTGCTTGTTTAATGACTTTTTACTGTCAATGTTTTTTTCAGATAGGAACTATATAAATGTTGTTCTTGTAAATGATGGAATAAGGTGTGTCACCCCTCCCCTTACTGCCTGTATTATCTCTTCAACAATATATTATGGAGTATAAAGATTGAAGCTTTGGCTCTCAGAACAACTTGCATTTGGTTTTGCAGACATTCATGAAGTAAAGAATACAATATGTATTTATAAGATCATCATCATCATCATCATCATTTATTTTGCCTGTTCTAATCCGCTATATCCTTGCTTGGTTTATCTTGGAAGCAGCAGTCTCTGGCTCATTTGACCTCAAAAGAACGAAGGTTGTCCAAGACGTTCATCCAATACTGCACCAAGTAAAGAAAAAAAATTGTTATGGAATAAAATGTACTATTGTGTTTCATGAAGAAAATGAAAGAAAACGGTTGTGTCTGACTTCGTCCCACAATTTGTTTCTGAAAAAAATACCAGTTGCCCTTATCTACGCATTTCAAACATAAAATGCAAAACATACTATTCACAATCAGTGTTAGGATCAATGATGAAGCCAAGAGAGACACCACAAAAGCCAGGGAGAGTGGCAATGGAAGTGGCATTGGGGTTGTAGGTGGTGATGAGGTCCATCATGCACCTGCACACGTTCTGGCGGTTATCGGTGGAGTCAGCCACATTGCTTAGGCTGAGCATGGCAACGCAGCAAGGAGAACCCGGGATGGGGTCTGGTGCTCCATACATCACAAAGCTTGAACAAGCAGAGATTAGTGCCTTCACTATTGCACACTCTTCTTGTTGTGGTTGCTCGTCCCCCATTGCCCCATTCCCCCACCACCACCACCCCCTGCTGCTGCTGCTGCTCGTTGTTAATAACACCAGCATCGTCACCACCCACCCAACACTTTTCAGTTTCCTCACCATCTGAATTATATTTATGTGTAATTATCTTTATTATCCTTATTAATCGTATACTCTCTACTTTAACTACAGTAGTAATTAGTTATCCATATTATACTCTTTATAGCTTCTTTGATTTAATACTCTGTATATATAGCTACCCCACACTATAATTGAATGTATTGAGTTTGGTGTACAATGTGTATTATGTGCCAGTTTCATTCGCACTGCATGATTAGCTTAACTGCATATGCACACACCCATGCAGAAATCTTTAAAAAAAGAAAGGGATCATTCCCATATATGGAACAAGGAATGTTGATTTCTCTATGTAGTTTAATAGGCCTGTCATTTAAGGGGAATTAAGTGACTATTATTAGTACTCTCCCTTCCTATTTAATAATACTAGACTCGTACCCGTGCGATGCACGGACTATTATTTGACATATAATTATTCAATGTTTTGAATAAGGAAAAATGTTACAAAGAAAAATATTCCATTAGCGATGCACGGGGAGCATTTCATTATTATATTTATCATTCATTAAAATTTATTTAAGAGTTTAATTCATAAGGAAAATATTCCCTCAGCGTCACAAAATCAAAATTTTAAGGCCTTGACGATTTGTCACTCGAGAAAATGTAACGTATAACTGTTCATGACTAAAGACCGTTTTTTTTTCCAGTAGAAGACTAACATGCTTCAGGGATTGGACTTGACTTTTATTTGTTTTCATAGCGTATGAGATCATTATCGAAAATTGTTCTCTTAAATATTAAAAATTTAAAAGGAATCCTCGAATCCGAAGGTGTAAGTGCAAGTCTTGGAATCACAAACTCGTTTCGAGCATGTTTAATTAAATAGCATTTTTCATATAAAATGATTTAAAAATAATTTCAGTCAAACATCGTAATGCGTAATGAGAAGTTTATTTATGTACGCAAGTAGAAAAAAATAGGGTAGTAAACTCACTTTATCTCATATTTCCAAAATTATTATTTTTATTTAAAACACAAAATGGATTCTTATTTAATCATAATTATAATCACATAATTTTTATTGATAAAAAATCAAAACTGGACAAAAATTCTGAACACAAATATTTAAAGATAAGCCCATTACTTAATCAGGCCCAAAAGCTCATCCCTATCGGAATATATAAGCTTCCCAGCCTAACCCTAATTTATTTTTCGCCGCTCTTTACTCTCTCTCTAATCGCCGCACTTTACTCTCTTTCTCTCATAGCCATGAACGAATTTTTGGAGATATCGATTTTGGCGATTCATATATGGCAATATGTGATATTGTTCAACATCGTTTTTTGTAAGTTTTTAGGATTCAAAACTTTTGATTTCAATTCGTCTTTTCAGTAATTCCGTAGATCGTAATTAAATTACGGGATGTATATACGTATATATTCTCGAATTTTCTAAAGATCTTTAGATCTTTATATATGAATATATATACGTATATATATATATCTATATATATGTATATATATATATATATATATATATATATATATATATATATATATATATATATATATATATATATATATATTATGCTACTGGGATTCGATTTTGACATGCATGAATCAAGATTGTTGAGTTAATGTTTTAATAATTTTTTCATTTTGATTCGTTAGAACTAATTCTTAACATCGGATTGGCATGAGATCTTTACCTTTTCAATCTAGATTCTTTAGAGCTTTATATATATATATGTGTGTGTGTGTGTGTGTGTGTTGATTTACTTCAATCAATTTATATATAGTTCTCTCTCTTAATTTTTATATTAATTCACACTATTTCTTCATTTTTTTCATTAAATATGAGAGTAGGTTTTGAATCTGCACATTTTTTTCTCAAAATATGTACCGATTGAAAAACCCTATATATTGTGGAATTTTATTTGGCTTGTTATTCTTGTTGTTTGAATCTGTTAACTACTAATTGCCAATAAAGACTATATATATATATATATATATATATATATATATATATATATATATATATATATATATTTAAATATCTTAATCCGATCGTCACCACCGTAACCACTTGCGCCCTTCTCCGCCGCATATCTCCGATCGGCGACTAACATCACTGTCCAATGGTTAGTTTTAAGTGTATTATTTAATTTTTTAATCTTCTTTTTTGTTCTCAGCCTTTAAAGATAATTTTCTATTTTTTTTCATCATATTTTTTTTATTTAGTATACATAGATCTTTAGATCCATGGATTTTGCCACATATGATGCATGTCTCCATTATAGTAAGATTGCTAGATCTATTCGCATTTCTTGATTATATATATATATATATATATATATATATATATATATATATATATATATATATATATATATATATATCATTTTGTATGCATCTCATCACTATTTGTATGTTATCTATTTCGTGAGTTATTTAATTCCTATTCAGTATAATCCCTATTTAAAAATCTATGCCTATATGAATGATATCTAATAATTTACTCTGTATATAATTATTAAAAACCGGGTATCAAATCTGAGCTATTGTATATTTTTTTTTATATACGTGCTAAATATTACATACCATATATATATATATATATATATATATATATATCTTCTTATTTAGTATATATGTATTAAAGTATATATCATAGTTATAGATATGTATAAATTCTTAATATACTACTGCATAATCATGAATTGCAAACTTGTTTGTGTGTGTAAACGGGAATAAAATAACACGCACGGCTCGTAACTTGAACATCTAAGTCGTCCGATTGTTGCCAAACTTGCCAACGGGAGACCACATGCTTAAAGAAAACGTTTGAGACATTTGATGATTTTTTTTGGATGTTTGAGAAGTGAATTTGAAAGGAATGAAGTTTACATCATAATGCTAGAGTATTTATATACATGCTCCATGTTTTCTTTAACCATGCATTAAATGCTTTAGATATTAAAAATTTTTAAAATAGATGGATTTGACACAAAGTAAGTTTTTTTTAAAATTAACTTTATGGAGCCACTAAATCATTGTTACCAATGCAACTTTATGGAAGATGGCAATTGAATAAACATAAAGTAAAAAGTAGATTTGATGTTTAGAAAAAGTGAAACACATCCATCAATGCAGGCCCATATCCGTCCACTAATGCAGGCCCAAACCCGAACCAAGGACCACTTACTTTTGGCGGGAATACTGTTCACCAAAAATGCACCTAGCATTGTATATAGGAGGATACCAACTTTAACTTTGCATTGGTTTTTAGAAATGACATTGTGCGGCTTTTTAAAACTTTTTAATAAGAAAATACGGAGTAAATCAATATTATCAATTACTCTGCACGTGCTTTTTAAGTCTTTTTTTTAAGAAAACATGAAGAATATTTAATAACATTCAAAAAACTAAAATTGCAAAGATCAAAATGAGGCAATACAATGGAAGCTTATTCCATGTTAATTAGATCAAATGACAACTATGCTCCAAAGCTCCAGATCAACAATGACAGGAACACATTCTGGAGCGCAAAATATTAAACTGTTCATCAAGCTAAGTAGCTATATTTTCCAAAAACAGAATATTGTGTCCACTTCTCCTGACACGGAGAAAGGATTTGTGTGGCACTGTTCATGTTGAAGAACATATTTCATGCCATAACATTTTAACCTTAGTTTTATAACAAACTGCCTAACAATTCTGTCTTGACAGGATTTTGAATAGAGAATGCTAACAACAGATACACCCTGCCAACCAATCACCAATTAAACATACATAACTAACACTAGAGACACTTACAACAAGTTTCCCATCCACAGTTTTCTAAGTTTCACACAATCGGTTGGTTTGAACCAAATTTAGTAAGCCAGCATTTCTGTTGCTGCTGCTGCTTGAATAAAGGCTTCTCAGGTGAACATTCATCAACACTTATTGGTATTTCACCAGTAAGGATCTTTGCAGCAAATTCAATGCATGGATCTAATGCCAATACGCCTCCTCCACCAAAAGGCAACTCCTCCACACAGGACTGTAGATTTCCAGCAGATGAACTGAGGGATGACTGTGGAGTCATCTTGTCAGCCTTGTTCTCTTCTTCTCCAATGCATGGGATTGCACCGGTTAGAGTTTTTATGGCAAATTCTATGCATGGATCCATCCACACATCCTTCATCATCAACAATGATGATTCAGGCTCCCCTGCGGGTAAAGCAGCAGCAGTATCAGCAGCAACAGCTTCATGTTTCCTTTCATTCCCATGGGTATCATCCACCATCCGGATATCGGTCANGGACTGTAGATTTCCAGCAGATGAACTGAGGGATGACTGTGGAGTCATCTTGTCAGCCTTGTTCTCTTCTTCTCCAATGCATGGGATTGCACCGGTTAGAGTTTTTATGGCAAATTCTATGCATGGATCCATCCACACATCCTTCATCATCAACAATGATGATTCAGGCTCCCCTGCGGGTAAAGCAGCAGCAGTATCAGCAGCAACAGCTTCATGTTTCCTTTCATTCCCATGGGTATCATCCACCATCCGGATATCGGTCATGCCAGCTTCTGTTTGACCCTTCTGTCTAGGAGCAGCAGCTAAGCCTTGATGATGACTATTAGTATTTGTTTTCAGTTCCAAAGATGAATCGGCTTTGATGCCAGCAAGGCGCTTGGAGGTTCTAAGAGGTAAGTGTGACCCTTTCCTTTCATGCAACTTCTTCCTTCTGTTGAGGATGGTTTCACTTTTATTCCCAACATCTTCCACTTCTCTTGCTATATGATCTGAAACAAATTGGCATTGAGGAGAACTGTCACCCTTATTACTTCAAGCATGTTATTCCTCTCCTTCACTGCACCTTTCTTGTCTCTAAATGTTAAAATCTCAATGTGTAGCAAAACAAATGCTAAGAAATTTCAAAATCGGCACTTAAGTTGTACTCCGTACTTCATTTCTCATTAGGTTGTTCACTTTAATTTTCCGAGGCAAAGTTATAATCGGGGTAGTATTGGAAAATTCTTAGAATCTAAACTAAGCATTGGAAATTCAATTCTACAGATGTTGGAAACAATGGTATGATGATATTATGCTGGCTGTCAGCAATGGAAACTTGTTTTTTTATGGATGCATGAAAAGGTGTTTGGTATGGGTTTATTCCGTTTTGAAGAATGTTTCTCGCATTCAATTTACTATTATCACTCACATACGGTCTATTCGCATACTATTGGGGGAGATGAACAGCCAAATTGAATGGAAGAGATGACGTGTATAAATGCAGTTGCATCCGCCTGGCGCACAAGTCTATCATGAGGGTCTTAGACATGGTAGGCCCTGCAGGGGCAGCGTTTATAATGCAACACCACTATAAATGCTGCCTTCGTACTTCATTTCCAATACTCAAATTTCGAGCAAAAGCCTTTCTTTAGCATGGTGCTGCACTATAAACGCTGCCCCCACAGGGCCTGCCACGCCTAAGACCCTCATGATAGGGCAGATGTAACATGTCACCTCTTCCCTTCAGTCTCCCGCAATAGTATCCGAATAGACCATTTGTGAGTGATAATACTAGATTGAATGCGAGAAACAACCCCCCAAAATGGAATAAGGCCCACACCAAACACCTTTCCATGCATCCATAGAAAAACACAAGTTCCCATTGCTGACCTGCATAGTATCATCCATACCATTGTAACATAGAATAAGTTGTACTCCGTACTTCATTTCTCATTAGGTTGTTCACTTTAATCTTTCGAGGAAAAATTATAATAGGGGTAGTAAGATAAAGGAAAATTCCATTGAATGCGTTTAGGGGATTGTTTATTTGAAGAATTTTAAAGAGGAAAGTTTTTAATTGGTATGCAAGACAAATGTATTGAGATGTGCAGAAAATTGCAGTCATATAATTTTCCATTAAAAGTTTCCACTTTTAATTCCTTAATAAATGCCCTTAGGAAACTGCTTAAAAAGATTCTTAAATAAATGCTTAAATATGCTTTGCCTCGGTGAATAGAGTTTAAGTTTTGTTTTTTTAGGTCCGTGTGAAACAATTTGTCAGGGAGGGGCCCAAAAAATGAATAAATTATAGGGACCGTATAAACACTACATTTGCAAGGATGAAAAAAATACTTGAGCCTTAAAAGTATGATGTGGTGATGAAATTCGGGAGATTTACACTGGTGAGAGCTGTTACCGGGGGAGGGGGACAAGCAACATTCTTTACCACTGGGCATTACAACTTCTTCCTTTCTCTGATCCACAGCAAGCTGTTCATCATCCCATTTGCTTTCACCCACTTTCAGTTCTTCAGCTTCAGAAGGCAACTAAAAATCCAGGAAGTAAATACAAAGAAACATTTAAATCTTCATGCAAGAAAGACAGCAGTGGAAGTAACAGGTCTCAAGTGTGCTGGTATGCTGACTGTATTTATATGAGTCTAGGCTGTACCACTGTTATTTACTTATTTTACAATGGAAACCAGAAGTTTGTGCAATTCTGAAATCATCAAGTGTTTATTTGGCATGAAATATTTCCTCTACTCCAAAATAAAAGTAACGCTCTGACTAAATGAAGTTTAAGAGATGTATTAAAAAGTAAAAAGAGTGTGATTGATAATTGTTTAGGAGAAGAAAAATGTTGCGAGTCGCATATTTATTGTTAGTCTATGTGCCCACGCCTACATCAAATGCTAGGGATAGGGCATTCAAGGCCAACAACGATTTCCTTAATAGGTAGGTGAAGAAGTGTAAACTTCATTTCGAGACAGCCCATAAAGGAAAATGTTACTTTTATTAAGGTAGGAAAAACATAAGCAATGAATCCCCGTAGTTTCCTCTTGCAGCAGAGCAAAAAGATGTGAAAAAATAATGCCATTCATATAATACGATCTTCTTCTCTGCACCCAAATGTGCCAAACTCGTAAAAATACATATCTCTTAGCCCTTGTTTTCTTTTAATTAAGTAGTCACTCCCCTCCTCTTCCCTTTAATATATATCCCTCCAATCTGGGAAAATCACTTCTATCCCCTCCTTCCTTTAAAACCAATGACATGCTAAGAAGAAAAAAAGCTCCCCAAAATTGGGAGGGTGAGATATGAAGACATTAGAGGTTTTTATAGCTCTTCCACTTTCCTTTTCCAAACTTCCCCAACCCAACACACACAACTTCTCTTTCCTCCCATCCCCTTCAAAATTCTCCAACCAAACAAAGGCTCAAGCTAAACACTTGCCATTCTGCTCTATGGATAAACTCATAAACAAGCTTCATTATGCTAGTAACAAAACCATCTAATGGTGTTCAGTTGAGAGGAAAAAGCAATATGGACCATTGGACCCACACACTTACAGACGAAATAGAACCTGCAGCTTGCAGGTTGTTGAGACCTTGTTCAGTCTCACTGCAATCTTTAGTCCCAAGGTAACGAGAAACATCCTTCAAGGAGCGGAAAACTTGCCCACTCTCAGGATCGATGTAATACTGCATAAGAAATAATAGGCATTCATTAATTAAAAGCCAGATAAGAAGAAGATAAATAGAGTAGTAGAATAAGCACTAGAAATTATTAGAAATAAGAAGAGGCAACAATGTGTAGAGTTCTGTTACCAGGTCCTTTCTAGTCTTGCCACCCTTTTTCTTGACCCTTATTTCCTTAGTCCATCCCGGAGGTAAACCCTTGGCCAAAGGTTTCTCAACGGCAAACTATATTTTTCACAAGAATATTTACTCCTAGTAATAAAATAATAAAGGAAAAGAAGCCACAACAACAACAACAACAAAAATCACATTTTTAAATAACCTTTCCCCTGCCTTTCTTTGTCATCTCCTTGCTGATATAGTGGAGAACGTCCACCTTGAGAAGAACTTAAATTTACGGGAGGGATCAGTACTGCAGCACTGCAGCAAACACAAGAACACGCATTAAGATAATTAGGCATACAATGCGGTAATTTCCAAGATAAACGAGAAAAAGATGGAAAGAATCTACACTCTTTTTTTCATATCAACATTTCATTTAATAAATGGTGTTGAAGATGGAAATCATGAGGGTTGTTTAACACAACCAACATTTGAGATGACTTTATAATAAACCCTATGCCATGAAACTTTGAATATCTTGTTTCTCTCAACAGACCCACAAAAAAAAATACTAGTAATTAATACAGTACAAAGAAGAGAAAAGATTGGGAGAAATGATACAAGAAACCAAAGCAGTGCAGGTATTGAAGCAAGAATGGATGTGCAATGCAGTCAGAGAGAAGCCAGCCTCCAACGCCATGGCTTATGGCTAATGTGCAGGGTGAGGTTAAATAGAACAAATACAGTGCTAGTGACTGAATAAAAAAGCAAGAAACAAATTCATTTGAAAAATGCTAGGTTACACCAAACGTGTACCCCAAATATCCCCACCCCCTCCTTGTCCATTAAAAAAGGCAACAAAATTCAAAAAAATTAAGTAAATAAAAATCAAATAAAAATGTGTGAAGGAAAAGAGAGTGGTGTACACCCGCAGCATTACTCAATTCATTTTTATGCTCACCCGCAGCTTCTCAACGGACGACAACTGTGTGTATCTGGGCTTTGCCGAAGGAGTTCTCTTCTTTTGGTTGTTTCTTGGGGGGAGCGGTGTTGACCAGAGTGGTTATGGGCTTATTATGGCATGTGGGTGGGGGGGGGGGGGCTGTTGAAAGTTGAAAGTTGAAACGGAAAAGAGCGTGGGGGGAAATTGAAAGCGGAGCGGGAGGAGCACATAAAACATTTGGTACTTCTAATCCAAGATCACGTGACTGCACAAAAAAGTGTCAAACATAATTTAGGTAAAAAAGCTAAGGAATAAAAATGAAGAACTAAGAACAAATTATAACCCAAAAAAACAAACAAAAAATTATTTTACAAGGAAGAACTATAATTACCAGAAAAAACAAACAAAAAGGAAACTATTATGGAGTATTACAAAACCGCACATAAATAATTTTTTCCGCATAAACTAAATTCACACTTTCTTTTTGCATATGATGGGAAATAATTTGTGGCTTGACCTGTGATCGAAACGGGTCTAGGTACTTATCACTGGTTGAACCAGCGGTTTAAGTGGTCGATGTTTATGTTTTGGGCAATGTGTTATGGTTCACAATACTTAACTACACTTTCTGGCAGTGTGTTGTGCCCATGTTCTGGAAGTGTATGTATACCAACTTAAATACTTTTGTGACAGTGTGGAACGATCATGCTTTGGGGAGAAAGACCAAAGTAGGACTAAAACATTGAAAATATACCAAAAAAGTATAGTAATTTGCACATGTACACTGCCACATTACCATAATGCAAAGTCACATTACCACAGTGCAAAGTTCTATTCCGGGAAAAAAAACATGAAAGTCCTATTTTGGTACTTTTCTCTATGTTTTAGTTCTATTTAGGATGATTTATATCATGCTTTGGTAGTGTAGATACATGTTATATTGGGTATGATGGCAGTGTGTTATGCTCATTTTCTGGAAGTGTATACCCACTTAAACATATTTTTTGATAGTGTGGAATGTAAGGACAAATTTGAAATTGCATCCACACGAGTTTCAATATCACATAGCAGTGCTATATTGGATATTTTAAGCATATATTAATGATATGACAGTACTTCTTTCAGGAGAGAACATGACTACCTTTTCACCCAAAGCCTCTAAGTAATTCGGGAGGGTGATTAATAATAATTACATCGGGTTGAGTCTAAATCGTAGTTTATATTGGACCAGATGTTCATTAAAATGTATTTTAGTATTTACAGACAAAAAATGTTGGTTATATTTGTCTATGAAATTTTTACAAACAAATTTTATCCAATGTTGGCGTATAGTCTATGTCTTGTGGCTATTATGCATTGTGGGGGTGCATGGGCGGGGTAGGGTAGGGATTTAGGGGGTAGAAATTGTCAATTTTATGAACAGAGCACCGAAAGTATCCCAAAATGGCAGTGTCGCTAAACGCGGTTGTCACTAGAACCCCAAAGAAGATAAAAACACACTAAATTTTTACTTCTTTGTCTTGTATAATGCTATTATTAGATAAAAGTAAATTAATTCAAAAATCATGAATAAAGAAAATTTTGTTTTTGGATGGAGGCTTTCTAACGTGCGGTAGGGAGAAGTCTCAACTCTCCCACATGACACGTGGCACCCCCTTATGAACTTAAACAAGTCCTGACTTTCGTGGGGATAGATGGATAAGAGCAATGAGTTTGATAGATGTATTTGGTTCGTACCGATATTCTACTAATTATTTTGATTCGGTATGGATTTTATATTGTACTAATCTCGATCTCGAAGTATCAATTTGATATGGTACATGATTATTCTGTTTTGGTATTGGTTAATATTGGGATGGATATATATATTGGGATGGATATATATATATATATATATATATACATATATATATATACACACACACACACCTAGATTACATTTTGAAATGTACAAAACTTTTTATTTAAAAAATTGAAAGTGCTTCTCAAATAAAGAAAGACAAAAATTTAAAAATAATTAATTAATTGCAAGAAATGCTTATCAAACTTAGTTTAATTTATACTTTATATTTCACAAACAAAAGAGAACGAATGATAATAAAATAGTATTTCAAATCTTTGTTAATTTTTTTTATATTCATCTCCAAAAAATTGAAATTTAAATGAATAATTATTTAAATAAAAGACTATTTGTAATTCATCAGCACCCAAACAAACTTTTCAAAATCAATTTATTATTAAATGAAGAAATATAAAAACATTCTTATTTTTATAACATATTCGTATATATGTTGGGTTCGAGATTTTTCGATATGGAAAGTTACCTCGTACTGATCCCAAATACCAAACCGACCATTCGGTTTGGTACAGTACAATTCTTTTTCGATATTTGTATTTGTTAAGTATTTTTCGGTTCATTAATCTCAGTTTTTTCAGGAAATTTCGAGATCGGTTCAGTATTTACTCACCCATAGTGCTAGGTTCACAAATAAAATCGTCATAAATTTTACAAACTTACCATTTAAAATTTAAATTTTTATTTTAAAATTATTTTAAATTTTTTAATTTTTTTTATAAATTTTGTCATAATTTTATTGGGTGGGGTTCCCATGACATTGAAACCCAATGTCATGGGAATCTTGGTGAATTTTATTTGTGATTTCGATAGATAACAGTCATAACACAGCTCAGCTAAGCACCACACGTCCCAACACTAACGCTGTCGACAACCCCACCACGGCCCACTTCATTCATCCCATTGCACCCCTTCTTCAGCGTCTTTTGCTCCGTCCCGGGTTCGTTACGGAGTATCAAAGTCACATAATTCCGGAGTATTATTACTTAGTGAGAGCTCCATTCCTCAAAGATCATCGATTCTCAAATGGATATACTTAATTTTAGGAATAAAGTTTTAAAATTAAACTTATAGAAAAAAACTAGATAAAAAAGTTTTACAAAATTAGATGTGACAAGATTATATTATTTTATGAAATGAGTAGTAAAAATAAGCAAACAAAGTAAATTAAATTTAGTCGTGTAAATAGTATCTGAGAAAATCTATGACGGATGGAGTGAACAAAATTTTGATGTACACCAAACATTTTTGTTACAAAAAAACTCTCCAATATGGTAGTAATTCCAGGTCAACAAGTATAGTAAATGAACAAAATTTACACCTCAATCAATGACTCTTTTTAAGATGAAATTTGGCGACTTTGTAGAAAACATTCAAAAGCTTTACAATAAGGCAAATAAAGTGTGTACGACTTTGTAGACAGAACCAGACTCTTTGAGCTCTGTACTCCGTTCCGTATCAAACTGGTGAAGAAAAACGACACTGTAATAATTATACTACTCCGTATTACTATAATAATAACAATAATAATAATAATAATAACTATAATATTAATAATAATTGACTCAAAAAGTTATTATTATTATGAGTATTATTATTATTATGAGTATTATTATTATTATTATTATTATTATTATTATTATTATTATTATTATTATTATTATTATTATTATTATTATTATTATTATTATTATTATTATTATTATTATTATTACCTCGTATCCGAAAGTTGGAATTGAATTTAATTGCTCCAGCCCAGCCAGCGAGCCAAAACCCAATAATTAATTTGATGGCAACAGTGCGTACCCATATGATATGTTATGTCGGCTGGAGTTGGTCTTTTTCTTCTCCTTTATGAGCTTGAACAGCAGGCGAAGCATCTGAAATTTTCATCTCTCCTTTTCGAACTTGAACAGCAGGCAAAGGATCTGAAATGTTGAATGAATGAATGAATCCCTTCTTTACTACCTCCGCAGCTTTCTTCCCTCTGCTGCAAACCTAGACGAACAAGGAAGAAGAAGACAAGAAGAAGAAGAAGAAGAAGAGGAAGAGGAAGAGAGGAGGCTAATAAGTAAGTGGTACAGAAATCAATCAACCAATCAATCAATAAATAAATCATGTTCATGTCTGCAAAATCGAGAAAGGAGAAGATCAAAGCTGTATTCCAAATGCACATTCAAGCAACCCAGGTACGCAGTGGTTCAGAGCAAGCAAGCAAGCAATGCCCCCTCTTTTCATATACTAGTACTAAATAACAATATACTCCGTAGTAGTAGTAGTAGTAGTAGTAGCATTAATATATAATGGGACTCCATCTGAAAGTAGTTTTTGTTACCTGGTGCAGGTGCCTCAGCTGAAGGCAAAAGGCCTCATCCTATCCATTCTTCCTGCGGATGCTGGAAGGCCCACACTGGAATTAGGAAAGGCTGCCATAACCCAAGGCTGCTGCTCCTGGGATGCTCCTCTCCAAGAAACCATTAGATTTGAGAAAGATTCTAAATCAGGAATATTGCAAGAAAAGATTTACTATTTCGTCCTCGGGACTGTAAGCTGCGCCAATAATCATATCGTCCCTTTCTTTCTTTATTTTTTTTCAAAATAAAAAATATACTGCTGTGAATTGGCAGAAATCATCAAAATCTGGTTTTCTGGGAGAGGTGGGAATGGACTTTGCCGAATTGGCAGATATTACTGAACCAGTATTGTTATGTCTTCCCCTTATGCCAGCAGACTCCGGCATAGTTCTGCAAGTTAGTCCTCTCTCTCTCTCTCTCTCTCTCTCTCTCTCTCACACACACACACACACACACATGAAATGCACTATCACATGGTTGGAGAACACGGACTGCCAATTATTATACTTTTTTATAATAAAATGTGGATGCATCAATCTGATCTGAAGATATTCATGTAATGTAAATCATGTAACAGGTCACAGTGCAGAAGGTGCAAGGAATAGTCCCCAATCAAAGGTGATGGAGAACTCCGGCCACAAATATGAAAATGCCAACAAGATGTTCATTCTAGTTTGGGTTTTACAGTATTACGTAGTATGTAAATGAAGTAATGATATGACATAGCAGAGGTTTTTCCTTGTTTCAGGAGAATAGAAGAAAGTGATGTTTCGAGAACAGACTCATATGATCACAAATTGGAATCAGAGCTGGAATCGAACTCCACCCAAGTAAGCTCACATCCCTAGCATCTATTTTCACTTCCCTCCTAAGCAAAATTTGATGTTTATGCATTTGACAGGGTGACGAATTCCACAGAAATGACAGCCTTAAACATCTTTCGCGTGATGATATTGATGTGAATCAAAACCTTAGTAGTCTTAAGCAGGACTTCAGGCCACTGAAGCCTGCTTTTGGCATCAATTCTCTCGAAAGATATTCCCATCAGAGATCCTCCACAGATTGCTCTCTGGGCTCAATCTCAGATGGAAGTGTAAAAGATGCAACAAACAGACCCAAGGAAGACACCCCAAGGGAAGAAACTGAAACAACAAACAGCATATTAAAATTGCAAAATCAAATCAAAATGTTGGAAAGGCAGGCAGAGGTTTCTGAAATAGAGCTGCAGTCCCTGAGGAGACAAATTGTAAAAGAAAGCAAAAGGGGACAGGACCTAGTGCAGCAAATTTTTGACCTGCAAGAGGAGAGAGATGCACTTAAAACTGAATGCGATCAACTTAAGCTAAAAGCTACAGGGGGGCACGCAGGTGAACCAGATACACTTCCAAGTGAAGTTGAAGATTTGAGACCACAGTTAGAGGAGTTCAGGCAAGAGCTTGAGCATGAGAAAAGATTAAGAAGCAATTTGAAGCTGAAACTGCAAAAGACAGAGGACTCTTACTCTGAACTTATTCTCAGGGTAAGGGACCTTAATGAAGCGTTGGATAAGAAAAACGAGGAGATATCTCATCTTTCCAGTACAAGGAAGGCAAATGGAAGTTTCAACTTAAGAAGCAATCAGAATGAAGAGAAAGCCAGTGAGATGTTTGAGAAGGTAAATGAATCAGAAGAGCTGAAGCGTACCATAGAAAAGCTGTCCAAGGAAATTGAGGTCTACACGAAAGAAAATGAAGAGCTAAAAGCACAGAAGGACCAACTTGTAAGTGATTGTGAGATCCTGAAAAATGAAAGTAGGGACATTTATTCTGAGCTTGAGCAGAGTGAGTTACAAAAAGAGAGACTGCAACAAGATCACTTTGAAGCATTGGCCAGCATAAAGCAGTTGAAGGCACTTGTAGAACAGTTGGAGAATGAATTGCAAAGAGAAGCAATGAATTACACTGAATCTTTGGACACAATAAGCATGCTAGAATCTGAAGTCGTGAGCCTTGAGAAGGAGCTGAAGAAACAGGCACAAGCATTTGAAGAAAATCTAGAAGCAGCAACTGAAGCCAAAGTTTTGCAGGAACAAAGGGCCATTAGTTCCGAAGACGCATTGAAAAGAACAATGTCAAACCACGCAAGGGCAAGTCAGCAACTTCAGGAAGAAATCAGAAGGCTTTCTGTTGAGATGGCAGCTAAAGTTGATGAGAAGGATAAACTAGCTAATGAAGCAGAGGCTCATGCTAATGCTCTTTTACAACAGAATAAAGCTCTTGAGGACTCGCTGCAAGAAGCCAAAAAAGAACTTCAATTGACAACAGATCGGTACACGAAAGAGCTGCATCAACTTTCAAATCAAAACAATCAGATATTACTGGAGGAGTCAAACAAAATGCAGGCTTTGATGGATGAAAAGAAGAAAACTGAAGAAGACTTACAAGCTGAAATTAAGAAACTTCAAGTCCTATACAATGATTTGGTGCATGGGTCAGAACAGTTAAAGTTAGAGAATGAAAACCTGAAGAAGCAAATGTCCAAATTGCAGAGTCACCTACGTAAGAAAGGACAGGTATATACCACTACAAATTAAAACAATTGGGCTCTCATACAGATAATAGGTCATTTACTTATAGCAGTAAGTTGAATTTAAAAAGACAAAAATAACTGCATTACTTACTCATTTGTTCTTCTACTTATACAAGTCACCCCTGTTCATGTGACATTGCCCGACAATCATAGTATGACCCGAGGGTCCTACGGTGCTCTGTTTGTAAAACTGATGATTTTTTGATACTCCGTATATACTTTTCTAAGTAAAAAAGATAAAAGTATGAATCAAATACTAAAAAATACGGAGTATATCATAATATGAATTTATGTTTTATTCTCGAAATCGTTGTTAAAATGTATTTACAATATCAATCATACCATATACATTACCAAGTACCAACAATATTGTGAAATGTCATTACTATACCACAATGTAAACTCATACTTTAGGGAGAAAACATGAAACTCATATTTTGATAATTTTTCTATGCTTTACTGTCATTTAAGGTGATTTAATTTCTGTCTTTCTAATACAACAAAACTATGTGACCCTCGTTTGTCTAAACATATTTCAAGTACTCATATTTTATTTTTCAACATTTTTTTTAAAATTCTGTGAAGTTAAATTAATAAAATAAATTTGGGACGCAGAAAGTAGTTTTTACTCTACCCCTGCCCCCACCTCCTTCAATTGCAGCCTCCAAGTTTATTTGACTTTGGAGTCAAAACTTTTGTGAATAATTTTATTTGCATGAATTCATAGTATTTACCAATTTTGTCATACAAGTAGGCACAAAAAAACACAGGTGTGAATTATTGTTTAAAATTGGTAACTACTATGAATTCATGCAAATAAAACATAGTGGCAAAGTTTTATGTCGGATGCCTTTCCTGTTGTAACCTTCTAATGTAACAATAATGAAAAATCAAATGGAGCCTAATAAAAAATTACATTAAAAGCCAGACATGTTTTTATCATCTTCGAGGTAGCATACCCATGCTTCACCAATGTTAATGTTAATTAGAAAGAACACAATAATTCCCAGGTTTAGTGAGATCAGTGGCACATTTTTTTTGTAAATATTTTTCTCTTGTAATGAAAATAATTAAGATTATGAAATACTGAAATCAGTGAAATAATATGTATACACGTAAGGATATAATATCCAGTCAGCATCCTGTTCCAGTAAGTGCAATGTCATATAAATAATCATTAGTAATTCTGATGTTCTTTAGCACGACCATTCTAGAAGAAATTGTCAGTGTCATCTATTGCCACATAATTTTCTGAAAGATCTGCTCACTTTGAGATACAGGAGAGCAGGCCTTCAAGTGCAGCTATGGTAGAAGCAAGAAAAGGTAATGGTGAATGTTCCCATTGTGGAGAGATGGAGTCTCCAGAAGCCTTGTCAGTGGAAAATGGAATCAAGAAAAAAGAACTAAGGTATTGAAATTGAATTATTGAACTTGTCATACCTATAATATCCTCAGTGTATTGTCTTTTACTACATTGCATACACTAAACTCACTGCTCCTTATGCAAAACAAAGCAAAAATCTCAATAAAGAGATGATGCTACCAAACGGTTACAAAACAAGACACTAAAATTTGCTGCTCTTTCTGCAGTAAAGAGATTGACTCAAAAATGCCAAAGGTCGTCAATGGGCATGCCGGAAGTACAAATGATCTCGCTGAATTACATAAGGAAGTAGCATTGCTGAGAGAAAAAGACAAGCGAAGGGAAGGCGAGCTTAAGGAAATGGAAGAGAGATATTCAGAAATCAGTCTCAGATTTGCGGAGGTAGAAGGTGAGAGGCAGCAACTTGTCATGACCTTACGCAATCTGAAGAACGGAAAGAAGAACTAGAAGTGCACTAAATCCTCTATGAATGAATATATATAGACTACTGAATTCAAGGCAACTCTATTTTTTAAAGGCCTGCCTGCAACATAGCCTGCAACATGGCCGAGATAATGTTGACATTCAGTCATACACTCACCCTGTACAAAAAAAAATGTGTTCTTGCTATGCCCTAGGAATGCAAAAATCTGAAACCATGTACATGCATGAGAAAATATTACTGCATAACAAATTGCTAAAATCTTGTGCCTGGAGTGTGAGAACCACTGTCACACCACACCAGCTTAGTTTGCCCTCCACTTCCATTTGTTGCAAAAGACAGTTTCTGCATACAGTTAAAGTGGAATGATTAAACAGCAACAATTGATTAATTCATTTTAAAGATAGGTTTAAAAGATATACTCGTTTTGCTTTTTTATCAACTGGTGTCCGTGTTGATCTTTCTGAGACAGAATTCTTTTCAATCTTAGATGTTGATGATGGCCATATAAAACGCTTTTGCTTTTTTTGTTCATTGGATTTATCTGAGGCACACTGTCCTTCGTACTTGAATTGTTCAATGATAGATGGACTCCTCTTTGTACCCTTTGATCTAGCCTCTTGGTGTCCATAACAAGGGGCACATAAGTTATGAAGACCAGAATGCTTGCGTGATGTACTCTTATGCCTGATCCTGTTGAGAAATTCAATCTCCCAGGGTGATTCTTGCAGCAGCGGAGAAGAATTTATTGCACGTGATAGTGGTGTCGTTGTATTTCTCTCTTGCAGTGTGTGGTTATGCAAATTTTGTAATTTCTTCAGTGATTGACCTCCTAAGGCCTCATTGTTCTTAAAATTTTCAAATGGATTTCTATTTCTGTTGAAACCCATTACTTTTTGGTGATCACTTCTTTCTCCAGGGCTTTGTCCTTGATGGCTTATAGAAGTCCAATCATAAGAGGACGAATCAATATCCACATCAGTAGGAAAACTGGGAAGGTTGTTTGTATCAAAATAGAGTCTTTTTGCAGTTCTAGGGACCCGTGGTCTCAAGTCCTGATCCACTTCACGCAACAATGGTGAAAAGGACTTACAATCTGCAGTAGAATTCTTTTTACTGTTTGCATGAGAAAACTCAATGTCGATAGTTTCACCTGCATCTATAAAACTTTTGTTTTTGTTTCTAGACTCTTTGCTACCTTGTCCATCAAATTTGTTAATAATGGACCTAGCAAGGGGTTGTCTTGTCGGGAAACATACACCACTGGAAGTAAGATCAGTTTTATTCATTTGATCTCCCATCTCAGCATCTCTTGCAGTCAGAAAGTCATAGGATTGAGATGAATTCTGATGATTCATTATCATATTGGTCTCTAATCCAAGGGGCTGACCAAAAAAGTTATCAAAAGATAAACTGCGCATCCCAGACCCATTAAATGAGGTTGTCTTTTCTGGAATCCGTGATAGGTATGGATCAGATGCGCATGGGTAACTGTCTTCAAGATCATGTAGATACCCTGCATACTTCCTTTTTCTCCTTGCAGAGTCATTTCCAAAATTAAGAGACTCTGAGCCAAGAACAGAAGATACCGAAGAGCAATCTGTCATTCCTGATTTAGACTCCTCGCGCTCCCCGTATCTACTCAAAGCACTTAATAACCAAATGCTATCATAAGAAACCCCATACTTTTGAACTGCATGAACTCTGCACTCATGTGACCACTCCAGAAACTCAAGAAGCATACTCACAGAAGAAACTATTGCTTGAGCTGAAAGTGGATTGATTGAAGGAAACATAGTTAGAAAAGACTCAGCTAATGTCTCCGACTCGGGCATTTTAGGAAGCATGCCTCTATTTTTCGTTGATTCTGCTTCAATGCATGATATTATGATTTTTTCAGTCATCTCGGGAGAATATGAGCAGAAGATTTGCATATCAATTCCCAGGCTAGGTGCAGCGGCATATAGCTGATCTGATAACTCTATTATCCCATCCAGGAAACTGCTCTCTCCCTCAAAGACCTGGAATGTAAATTAAAAAGCATTCAAACTCTATATTCATCTCTTGAGATGATGCATGAGAACAATGCTTAGCATGAGCAATTGTTTACAATGCTTGTCTTGGTTTCTCTTCATATGAGTATATCTTGTTCCTTTTCAGTATTCATTACTTTCTAGAAACAAGACAATAAATTTAAAATAGGCACACACTGATTAACCTATTTCTGTACACTTGAATACAAAGGAGTAGAGAGAATTCTGAACAGTTTAGCATGAAAGAATTAACAATTACCAGAATGAAGCCATCAAAAGCATAGCTTAGCGAAGTCAAAATACTTGTAGCAATATTTTCCAGACATAGTGGCAAGCATGAAAAGGCCTCATCTGATGCAGTAGCTTTCTTTGCAATATTACTGCAGTTATACCATGCAATGCAAATAGAGGCACTGATAATGACATCAACTGGATGGTGCAAGTCACGCTCTATTACTTGTGCTCCTTTCTTCTCCAGTGAAAGAATATTTTGGTATGTTTTTATCCGTGATATTATCATTTGTTTGTCAAAGTCTTGTGTGTTCACAACAATGATGGCTTCAGTGAGAGAGCAGTCACTTGTGTGACGTTTCTCCGATCTGTCAAATGGCTCACATTTAGGCAGCAGCATAGAGCAAACTTCATCTCCTCCAAATGTTTCTATATATCCAGAATCATGTTTCTTTTCCACTGGCATACATCTCCATTGTTTTTCCAGCTTATCACTTTCACTGAGGGAAGAAAGATAATGCTGATCTTTTTTCTGGGACTCTGCGTTATTATCATCCACAATATGAAAATCAGATAGTTGATCAGTTAGTTTATGTTCTTTCCCGCTTGAGAAGGCTTCTTGATTTAAAAGAAGATTCAGATCATTGAAGGGGGAGAAGGGAACAGCAAGTGAAGATTTCTTTTTGGAAACAGAGTTGGATGATTCCCCATCAGTTGATGCCCCTTTATTACTATCAACCTGCAACGTACTTGAAGAATTTTCACCGAAAGGCAGATGATTTTCCAGAGTGTCATTAAAAGATATGTGGAGTGTTTCTTCACTCGCGTCTTTCTTTGACGCCTTAGGAGAATCACCAGAAAAAATAAATCTATATAATAGCATCTCACTATCACCCGATTCCAAAGCTGTATCAATGGTGTAAGCATCCCCCAAAAGTTTTGAAAACAAAGAATCTTCATTACAGCAGCTATTCACTTCTTCCAGAATATGCCAATCCAAATATAAACCATCAGATGCAAACAATTGTTTTGAATCTAATCCAACTAGGATCTCCTCCACATATGAATGTAGTGACCTTGATCTTTCATGGTCCAGGCATACCGGCACCGGCAATGATTTGAAAAAACTATCTGTCATAGCGAGCTCCTCACGAACTATGAGCTCATAAAAGCTCCTAACAATCATAGCTTCTTCAGGAATTTCTTCTTCCATCTGCAATTTTGCATCGGATAGGGCTTCACAGAAATGAGGACCCAAGTCAAAGAACTGTGGCTCCTCAAATATTATTGAACTTCTCAGACAACTTGAACAGTTGTGTGAGTTCTCTCTTTGTTCTATGACACTTAGAATATTTGTTTCAAGGGAGTCAGTCGAAAGAGGTATCTTGACCTCAATATGTTTTGCCACCAAACAGTGATTTGAATCACATACTAATAAGTCAACTCCTGTACTACCCACTAAAGCTTCTGAGTCACTCAATCCATCACCTCCAATTGAGTGAATTTCAATACTTTTGAATATTTGAAATTCATTTTTTATGGGCATACCACTCACAATACCCAAACCGGCATCATCCACTTCAAGGAGAGGAAACTGGGTAGTATGAGAAATATATTGCCCCTGAATAAAGCCACTGTCTTCCAGATAATTAACCTTTTTCTCCTCAAAAGCAGGCAAGTGGATTTCATCTACTGCATAAAGTGATTGTGGAATATCAAGGGGATACTGCAGTGTGGTTTCAGTACTGGGTATTTCCTGAAAGGAGTGCACAATTTTCCCAGTTACCTAGAAGTGCATAACAGGGGATACATATTCAACAGTATAGAGGGTCACACACTCTCTCACACACACACACAGTTTTGCAGTTAGCTTTCAGTATCATAAGCAATTGTGATGGGTATAAGATAGAAGATAAACGAGCCAAATTATATTCGCTTTATCTCCTATCCTAAAAGTTCATACCGTTGATTAGATTGAACCAAAGTATAGCTTAACATCTTACTCTAATACTTCACATGTACATAATAAGTTCATATTATTTTGCTCAAGATGTTCACTACCTTCTTTTCAACAAAGGAAATGTCAGGAAGAATGGGTGTGTCCTCCTGAAAATAAAAGGCAGCTTTGTGATGGGGAAAGTGAATGAATTGTCTATGAAATAATTTATAATTAAGCATATATATCATTGCAATATGTGAATATGATCAAATCATAAACATGATGGTTTACCACTGGAAGCAGGACTGAATCGAGCTCTGGAATTTCAAACTGGAGAATGTCAAACTTGGCATCTTGCTTGACATCAACTGGAACAATGCCTTCCTGCAGTGAGATGTAATAATACCATAAAACAAAGTAAAATCTTAAAACCACTTGATTACTTGTGCAACATATAAATACAACAGGGAGTACCCACCAAAACAATAGAACATGGAGACGATTTCAAGTTCTAGATATCGATATTGATTCAGCAGGTTATGTCCATACAAAAAAATGCAATCATAATTCCTCCAATAAGAAACAGTAGGCATAAAAAAGAACGCGAAAAAATGCACATGACATTGAACGATTAATTTAGATTCCATTTTAGGCTTCCAAGCCAATCTGTTTGCTTCAAGAGCAAATATGGATATCAGAATCCAACGAGAGGCTAACGTCTAGGTCTACTTTCTCAGAGATATGGACCTATCCATCAGCAATGTCTTATATAATATAGCTCATAAGACATTAGGTATACAATCCGCAAAAGCATTACTGATCTTTTCAAATAGAAGCAGAAATACAACATAGTTATGTACGGATCAGAGTAGTTTATATGCAGAAGCCTCATTAATTAATGATTATTTAATCACGCAGGCCTTCATCACTCCATGCATATCTGGACACTGATGCCATCATAAAATTGAACATAATAATAAGTATCAGCAGACGCATTTAAGAATTAGGTATGCACGGCACGAATCTAATGGAAAATACTCAGCAATTCATAAAACCAGATCATAAATAAGGACGAAGGTTACTTGCTCATTTTGGTTGGAATTCGAACTTGTGAGCTCTCTAGAGTCCACCTCTCTCGAGCGAGCTGGTTTGTCTGAATGAAGAACATCAAAATCAACATCAATAAAGTTAGGCAAGCATTCGGAGAGGAGCTTAGACAGAGCTTTTTCGATCGGTAATTGATTGATTCCTATGTCGATTCCGAGGATTGACAGCTGATCGAAACGAGGAAGGCCTTTGAATCCGGATGAAATAATAGGCGGGAGATGGGGAAGGGGGAGGCGGAGGAAATCTGTGGCCTGAAACGCATTGGAGATGGAGTAATCTGTACAGGGGAACCGAGTTCGCATTTCAACGTCTTTCAGATTATGCTGGAGAAAAGGAGCAGGAGGGACTGAGAATGCCTTCTGAAATACTACTCGTAGAAGAGAAAGAAGTTTATTGCAGTTGGCGGATTGGCGCTACTTTATTTTCAGTACTCTTAAGTTGTGATAAAACTCTCAGGCCCAATTTTTGAAAGTTCTCCATATGTTTCTAAATTACGAAGTATTATTAGTTATTATCAAGTTCATATACATTTTAACTGGTGTGTTAATAGTCCGTTTCAGTGGCATTTTTTAAATTACATGCACGGAAATTATTTTAGCAATACGAACAAGTTGTTTAAAAATTTATGATATAACGTCAATTCTTACAACAATTTCAAAAAACTTGGTCTAAAAAAAGTCACCGAAGGAACTACTAACGCACCTGTTAAAAAATATGGATAGAATAAACGCTAAAAATTATTTAGGGACCTTTCAAACATTTTAAAAAAATATTAAGAACATGTAAGCACTTAAAATAATACAGAGACTTGGGAAGCACTTTTGAAAAAATATAGGGTCATTGTAAGCACTTTACCCTTTATCAAAATATACTCTTGTTGGCTTAAAACTATTTTATTAATAATGATTGATGGGGGGAGCTTCCGCCCATTATGGTGGTGGGGGAGGGGGGGTCGATGGGAGGCTAAGACCGTGGCGGCGGCCGGTGGGGTGGCGTCAACTTCGTCTAGCAATTTTATAACGCAAGGTTGTTTTGGCTAAAGCTGGTTTATTGATAGAAATTAATCGGTTTTTCCCGGATGCATTGACATTCCTCTTTTTTTCATTCTAGTAATTTGTTTTAGAGGAGCAAAGCGAAATCTCAATTCATTTTTCGGAAATAAAATAAAATAGAAACGGTGGACTTAAACAGCAATCAATCAATCCCATCCGCCCAAGGGGCAAGAATAGATCGATCAGGTGCATTCACAAGTTCTATCGTTCCTATCACTTCATAATTTCCATGATTAGGTCTGAATTTTACAATGGAGCTAGAAGCGCTTTTCCTTGTGTAGATCTTATTTCAATGGGAACTTGATGAGTTGATCCACTGACACGTCTTGCTTTTACGGTGAGATCAGGAGTTACTCCTTGATTGTTTAGACTGCCCCAAACATCGGATTGCATCTTCCAACTGAAATGAAAAATAACTATCGAAATAGTTTTCCTCCAAGCCAGAAATCAATGGGTTATGGTAAAAAAAAAAGCTATATATTATATTGAGAGACCAACGTCTTGGAGCGAATGTGGGGGCCGCTCAAGGTCCTACGGGTTTAGGTAAATATCTAATGCGTTCTCCCACTGGCGAAGTCATTTTTGGAGGAGAAACTATGAATATTGAATTTTATAGATAAACCAACTTGAATAATTTGATTTCGTATCTGTTCTCAATTGAGAAGGGTCATAGAAAAAGCGATTCGAAATCCCAATTCTTGATCCAATGTGGCAACAGGGTATGTTTGTTATACCATTTATGACTCGTCTGGGAATAACTACTTCGTGGGTAGGTTCGGATATCACAGGGGGGCCTATAACGACTCTGATGGCTCGAGCCCCCCGGAAGGAGGCCTTCTTCGCCTTCCACCTAAGCTACGCAGGAAACAATGAAGCATTTTAGTTAATCCACGGGCTTGATCACTAGTGTAAGTAAATGGGAGAGGAAAAAATCTTTTCAAATAGAGGTTTTTTCGTAACTAAGACCAATTGAGTCCCGTTTACTGTCCATTTTTTTCTGATTCTCAAAGATTTCATATGTCAATGTAATCAAACCCCACAGGTTTAATCATGTAGAATTTGACCCTTCATGTAGCTTAAATAACTCACTAATAACGTTGACGAATTTTAGTAATTTGCTCTAACCCGAGACATAAACAAGGACAGGGATAAGACACCGGAACAAACAAACCAATCCACAAATTAAAAAATTCAATTGGTCATGAACATCGTAAGGTGATGTTGAGTCTCTATTAAAGTCAAGTGAATAGGCCCCTTTAACTCAGCGGTAGAGTAACACCCCCGTCGGAATAATTTGTGGGTTTCGAACAACTATGGTGACTGAACCTAATAAAATAGCAATTACAACCCCAACGAAAAATACATATGATCCCTCTCATTTTATCAAATTGATCATAACCACCACCCACATTCCAGAACAGCATAGACAACAAATATAAACTAATAAACAAACCTGAAATTTTGGGGTGTATATGATACTTGGGCCCCTGGAGGCTGCAATGCGAGGAGGTGTCACGTGGGGCGACATCTAGAGCCAACGGCGAGGCAGGGCAGGCTATCGGGCGGTTGATTATGGGGACGGACGGCAAGACGACGAGGCGGCGAGGGAGTTGAGGGTTTGATAGGTCGTGATCTTATATGTGGACAAAATGCAAAGTAGAGTAAGGTTAGGAGTTTTATTTTTTATTAATATCTGCGGCAGAACATATTCCATGACAGGTGTCAGTAGCGGATTTGGGACGATGTATAGAATTCGTGGTTGATTTGATTGGTGCGAATAAGGAACATGTCGCGCGCACTTTTTTGCGAGAGACATAAAAAATCCATGAGAGATCTGCATTGGAAATTCTAATCCGTCGCAAATCTACAACTAAAATGTTTCCGTTTGCAAATATCCATAGCACATCCTGCAGATTTTTGAAATGCTAAAATGTCATTGTTCCAAAATATTAAATGTAAAATTATAATAATTCATATTCTGATTTTATTTTGAATTTCATTTTGCTTTACCCACTTGTAGAACCCTATTTTCTTGAAGGGTAAGGCAGGAATCGAACCCGGTGGGCGTTGCATAATTGACAAGGCAAGGAGTGCCAAGGGCATAAGACCCGAGTTCGATTTCTGACAACTACGCTGGGAGACAACTATGCTAAGCATAGGGCTTCTGCAATTACCAGGTGCAGATTCTACTATTTGTCTAATTTACCTCATCTTAGTGACCGTTCATCTGGGTCTGAGGGACCCTCGAGGACGGGGCTCATCCTTTTTTTCTATTTTATTGATTCATTACCCCATAAAACTATGGGTTTCTGCTTACATCGATCTAGCTTGTCTGAGTACAGTGGATGAAAAGAGCAAGTCCTCACTCCTCAGCTCCTGCGGTGACTTGAGCTCTGGCGGCTTAGCCTCGACCAAAATTTAATTTACCAGGCAACCCTCGCAACCCTAATCCAATTGGTTATACTATTACTCTCTGATGCATTTGAATCCAGACAGCAATAAAGTTAGAAGATTTCTCCAATGCATATGGGTTCAAGTTTTTTTTCCCTCGGCTAGTTCGCATGAAGTGAACGTACTAATTGAATATCACTAATGGGCGTGCCGTTTTTTCCTTAACATATTGCTATGCGCTCTGTTGCTCTTCTTGCTCTTAAGGCCGTCAAGATATTTCCTTGTTCTAGCAGTTCTTTGCGTTTTTTGTGTACAAGGAGTGTTAATAGTGATGATTTCTTGAATGGATTAGGAAGCACTGAGGATTGTCTGAAAGAAAGCTGGGGAAATCCCAATTATGATTATAATTTTGAAGAGAACTCAGAGAACTCAGACAGGTCATCGTCTGGTTCTAGCTTTTCTGAAGGGTATTCCCGCCAGAATCTTTCCACCAGAAGCAAGTTTATTAATGACACAAAACTCGAGGCTCGGCGAATTCTTGAAATTCTTTATCAAGATGGTCCAGGCTTTGATGCAAAAACAGCTTTAGATGATCTACAAATTAGGCTTTCGGGGCTTCTGGTGAGGGAGGTTCTTGCAGGGGTACTGGAAACCCTAAATTTTGCGGATAAGAGTAGGTGTGCGAAGATGGGGTACAAGTTCTTTGTGTGGTCCGGTCAGAATGAGAACTACTCTCACACAACAAACTCATACCATTTACTCATGAAGATTTTCGCAGAGTCGGGGGAGTTCAAGGCTATGTGGAGGTTAGTGGACGAGATGATTGAGAGAGGTTACTCAATTACGGCTCGCACATTTTCCATATTGATATGTGCTTGCGGCGAGGCAGGATTAGCCAGGGAAGTAGTCGAAATGTTTATTAAGTCTAAGAAATTCAACTACAGGCCCTTCAAGCATTCATTTGATGCGATTTTACATTCCCTTTTGACTGTGAAACAGTACAGGTTGATTGAGTGGGTGTATGAGCAGATGCTGGCAGAAGGCCACTCATCTGATATGTTAACATATAATATCATCCTGTGTGCAAAGTACAGGCTGGGAAAACTGGATCAGTTTCACAGGTTACTTGATGAGATGGGAAGGAACGGCTTTTCACCTGATCTTCATACATTCAATATCCTTCTTCATGCACTTGGCAAGTTGGACAAACCGCTAGCAGCTCTTAATTTGTTAAAGCACATGAATGAAGTTGGTTGTTATCCTAGCATTCTTCATTTTACAACTTTAATTGATGGGCTGTGTCGAGCAGGCAACTTGGATGCATGCAAATATTTTTTTGACAGGATGATAAAGCAAGGGATAGAGCCTGATGTTGTGTGTTACACTGTTATGATTACCGGATATGTCATGTCTGGTGAATTTAATGAAGCTAAGGGATTATTCTCTGAGATGATTGCCAAGGGTCAGCTGCCGAATGTATTTACCTACAACTCCATGATCCGAGGGCTTTGCATGGAGAAGAAATTTGAGGAAGCTTGTATGATGTTGAAAGAAATGGAATCAAAGGGCCGCAATCCAAACTTTCTCGTGTATAGTACACTTGTTAACCACCTGCAGAAGGCTGGAAAGCTTTTAGAAGCTGATCGTGTGTTGAGATATATGGTGGAAAAGGGTAGCTACATCGCACTTGTATCAAAAATCAGAAGATATAGAAGATGCTAAAACAGAGGTGGCCTGTGCAATGGGTCATCCACCCTTAAATTTTTGGGTGAAGAAAGTTTTGTTACAGGGAGCATGATACGAATATCGCTTTCCATTTTGTCATGCATATATGTGATAAGAAGTGAACCTCTTTTGTTTTCTATTTATGTTTCCTTTTGTAATTAGTGTCGCGTGTACTCTTTAGATATTGATCTGCTATGCTGACTATGAACGGAGTTAAAATCTTATGTCAAGTATGGCGCACATATGTGTACTACTTATAAGCTCCCTAGGGAGTACCTGAAATATAGATAATAGCAGCAGTCTACATTGTTCCCGTGATGTTCCTTTGATGTGTAATGCCAAATGCAGATAGTCGGGTGCCTTTATGTTGGTGTTGTTAATGCCATATTCAGACATACCTGTAATCTATGAAGCTGGTTCTTTTTTTAATAACCATTTCGCTTTGTTCTTTGTTTCTGCCAAATTGAATATTTTCCTAATGTTTCCTTTGGAAAATATTGCATTATGTTTGTCTCCGTAAAAGTATGGGATTTGGTAGTTTGAGACGTCAACAAAAACTGGGCTGTGCGAGCAGAGTTTTTGTATAATGTTAGGTACTACAAAGATGCCATGTTATTGCTATTAATGCATTTTGTTCATATTCATGCACACAAGTCGTTGACTAGAAGTTCTTTTTAAAACCATAGCCAATATTTTGTGTGCCAACAATCTTGTGCATAGAAGCTTGACCAAGGATATGTTTGAACGCTGCCACGAATGAATGAGCGATGTCCTCCTCTATCAATTTACTTTCTGGTTTAAACACATTATTCTAGTACGTCTGCACATTCACCTAAAGCATACTCATCACTGGTACTCTGTAGCTAGTTAGTCGCGTGCATCAAAGATAAACACTGATTTTCTTATTAAGTTGGTAATATATATATATGTATATATACTCTGCTCAGATTGGAACCAACTTTTATCGGCTAAACAATTACATTGTCTGAGCTGATGAAACAGAAATATTGAAAGGGAGGATTGGAGAAAATATAAAGGTGCGTTGTCACTTCTGCTCCTCTTTCTTCTCCTCTTTCTTTTCTTCTGGTTTGGCTTCTTCTTTCTTCTCTTCCTCTTTTTTCTCGTCCTCTTTTTTATCTTCCTTTTTTTCCTCCTCTTTCTTTTCTTCTTTCTTCTCTTCCTTGGCAGGCCCAACCGACACAATTTCGACTTTGGCCACTTTTTTCAGCTTTTTCACCACTGCAACTGCATCCATCACTCCTATCACTGTCAGCTTCTGCTCTTTTAGATCCGCAGCGATTGAATCTATCCCTGCCCGTTCATATGAGATTTGATGCTAATCACACCCTCTTGATCCCTATTGTTAAAATTGAAGAGGGAAGAAACAGGATTGATATAATCAAAAGAGGGTACCTACCGTAAATGTCAGCAGCAGCTTCAATGGCTTTTTGCTTTGTCCTGTCATCAGTCATGGTGAGCACCCTGATCACCACTTTCTGCAACATGGATTAAAAAGAAAGAAAAATATATAAATATACATATTTGTGATTTGAATCTTTTTTTCATGCTCACTGTATGTATAATACTGAGAAGCTCACTGTACCTGCTGCTGATCCATTTGGGAAGGTGGTGATGATGGAGGACTTGTGTGTCTGTGTGGGCGCAAAAAATGAATGAATCCTGAGGTGTCACAATAATATTGGGGGTGGGGTCTTGCATGCATTTGGTGGGGTGGGGTGGGGTGGGGAGGAAAATCTAGGGTGTGGTGGGGCACACCCTAAGCATCTCTGCAAGTGGCAATGAGAGGACAGATTGGAATGTGTTATTAGCTTACTTCACTTGTGGCTTTGACTTTTGACAGATGTTTTGCGGTCCAAATTGCTCTACTCCGCCGGCCCCACACCATGATTCGAAGATGTTTTACAGCGTTAGAGTATAAAACATTTCTTAATCCCCCGACTACCGACCCCCAAGGTTTTAGAGTCTAAAGTCTGGTGTTTTTTTTTTTTGTTTCAAAGACTAATTACTAGTTAACGTAAAAGTATTGTAGTGGTTTAGTAAAATAATAATTGTAGTGGCACAAACCATACATATCATACGAGAGCAGGCATGAATGGTTCGTTCAATACCTTATACCAGGGCTAATATTGAAGTGGAAAATCTAGTTGGCATATCTTTTTTGTAAATACTATCACAAGATTCTCTTCAATAGAATAATATGGCTAACAAGACATATAGGGCGGAGAGCCCATCTCATATCCAACTCTACCTGAAAATCATTTTGAAAGGAAAAAAAAAACTCCAAAAAGGCTCTCCAAGCATAAATAAAAACAGGGCGTAAAAGAAGCCACCTATAAAGAGAACAGCGGAAAAATATACTAATGAAGAATAAGGCGGCATGATTGATTCAAACAGATAGGAAAATCCAAATCAATACTAAATCTTAAAGTAAAGTAATACTTATTTTCGCATAAAAGAATACTCATTTTGAAATAACATGTTGCTCATTTTGAATCTAAGTAGTTCTCATTGTGAAATAATGTACTCCGTAATATTCATTTTTACACATTTGTTTATTATAATTATAATATTCATTTAAGAATAATGTAGTGATCATTCTCAAACAGCGTAGAACTCATTCTAAAGCACACCTAAGTATTCATTCTGAAGTTACATACCGTTCATACCACTCCAATCTGTAGCCCCTCCTTAATTTACTTCTTGTGTTAGGCGCTCTTTCTTCTCGGTAGAAAACCAGACCCGAACAAATTTGTGTTCTTTCTTCTCAGTAGAAGACCCTAGTAGAAAGAAATTAAAGGAGCCCCGGCTACAAATCATAGATTGATGATGCATTGATAGCCGATCAAACTAGGGTTTCCTCCCCATCACTCCGTTCATGGTCACCGGTACTACATCTTTCCCTCGCCGTGGTCACTCTCTTCCTTGCCGCTGCTAATTTCCCCAAATTAAACCCCGGCCCGTACAGCCCGCTGTAAAATATAAATTGCATTGATCCCCTACAACACATTACAGAACCGGGGCTAGCTTGGTTCTTGAGACCGGGTTAACATTGTTCATGCAAAAACTTTCTTGCCCAAATTTATTGAACTATTTCAATTGCCTATTTGGGTCAGGCTTCGTGCTGCCCACTCTATCGTAAAAGCTTGTTCGAATGTATTGCAAGGGTGCAGTCATCCAAAACATTACAAATCAATTATGTAGTTAAGCAATATGCAGTGTTTCGAACAAATCCCCAATCATCCGAATCATTGTAAATCAAAGAACACTATACTTTCTTTTTTTTTTTTTTACAATAAGTAGTCGTATAGTACTCCGTAATTATTTTAAAGTAAACACAATTAGCAGAGATATTCTTCTAGTTCCAAAACATGGATTGGTTTGTTCTCTACATGGACTCTCTTACTATCCTGGGGAGGAATCGTGGCCCCAACGGCCCAACCAAAGTACAAGAAAGGGATGTTGACAAGTATGACAGGTTTAAGTTTTGAATTTTTGAGAGATTTTCTCAACTCCTTGTTTGCAGTCTCCAGCAAATCGCTTAACTCCCTCCCCAAATTCAGCAGAGCCGTGCTTCACGGAGTGGAGAGAGTTACTCATCTTTGCTGTGGCAGTATCTTTTAGCATTACGGCCTCCCTACATCCTTTCTGTGCCAACTCCCTTAAAATGGTAATATATAAATGTATCTTCTCCATTATTTTGTGAATCATATCTTTCGATTTTCCTCTAACATAACCAGAGATTCCTCTCAGCTTGTCCTCCAAGGTCTCTGCCCTACCCACGGTTCCTTCAATTGTCAACTGCTTTCCAGCACTTAGCCATGTGACACCAGCATTTGCTTCTTCCTGTAGTTCATCGTCGACAACCACCTTGATGCCATGCTTCTCCCAACGATCTCTTGCCTCCTTCAGGGCCTTTGCTTGGTTTCTAGCTCTTTTAGCCTCATCTTCAGCCCAAGCTCTGGGTCAAAAAATTAAAGAACACACATCAATTGGAGAAACCATTGAAACTACAAATTCGATGAAAAGATGGGGGCTACCTACCTAGCCATAGACAATGCTTTTCTCTCAACCTCTAGCTCGTATTGTAACCTTGATATCTCTTGACTCTCATGTTCAACATCTTCCCGGAGTTTTTTGAGCTTTTCTTTGTCATGAGAGATCTCCAACTTGTTGCTCACGAGGGTATGTAGCTGCTCCTCTACCTCACTTCTTAACCGGGAAAAAGCTTCCATTTCTGAATCAACCGTAGCACGCTCCTTCAGCAAGGCAAGATTCTCTTCCTCCCATTCAGCTTGCATCTTCTCTAATTCTTGTCTTGCATCCTCGGCTAGTTTCCGCACAGCATCAATCTTTTTTCTTTCCAATGAGAGTTCCTTCTCATAAATTGCATTGACATCTTTCTCCACTTCAGCTATCAAAGCTTTATGGATAGTGACAGCCTTTTCAGCCATAGATTCAGCCTCAATGCGGGCAAGCTCCTCACTAACAACATCATAAGCTTCACCAGTTGCAAGGGCAATTGCAGCTTGGGCTTTTGTCACAGGTTTATCTGGCTGGAACAGCCTTGTATATCCTGCAAAGGGGCTATTAATAAGCATTCACCTTTCACATCAAAAAAATGTTAACACGGGATGGGGCTCACCAAGTGCAAGGGCTATTATTCCGTGTTCCCCTGATGCTAAATCTGCTGCCAAGGCAGGCCATGCATCTGGATGGATCTTGTCAATATCTATAAACCCTGATAGTTGCTTCAACATCTATCCCACAAACAAAATAGATAAAGAAACAAAAAATGAGGGAAAAGAAGTGTCTGCAATTTAAAATTATTGGCCTTTCTATATAAATTTCAAAAGAAAGAAGTAGCTTTGGTGTTTGGATCCAACCTTCTGGTCAACTATAGGAAGCTGTCTTTTCTCTAGGGCCATCTTCCAACTGAGAAGATCCTGACGTGACAAAGGACTGCATCCAGGTCTTTTATGAATTAGATAAGGAGCAATAAAATTGCCAATTCACCTAAACCCAGGCCACTAGAAAGCATAACATGAGCAATAAGAATGTTGAGATTTCAGAACCCTGATTAGTGCATTCAAGGAATACACATCATAAAGTTGTTAAATAAACATAAGCAGTGTTTGAGGTCAGGCAGAGCATAATCTATTTGCAACTTCACAAAGATCCCACTGCAACAGGAATACGACTTCTAGACAAGTAGACAATTGTTACTTGATAAGAGGGTAATCAACACGACAGTGAAGCATTTTATATTGAGGTCACCTATCAGGAGAAAAGAAGATGGGACTTTGTTCTCCATCTGAAGATGACTGCATGTCACCTCTTGATAGCTTGCTGGAGATAAGACCAGCTTCGGCCAAGCCTGAAATGTTGCGAACTTCAGAGACTGGAATTGGATCAATGGACAAAACTTAAAAGATCACATATCTTAAGCTCTACCTTGTATGAAGGGGAAGTCAGGATCTTCAGTTGTAATATCATCGAAGGCAAGCTCAGTAACATTCTCAATATACATCGCAGGATAGATCTTGGAGACAATGGACCTACAAGAAATCGGGACAGACGGGCATGCTATCATTTTATGCACATCTTAAGTTCTTAACCCGCCTAGGATGCAGTGTCAATCATAGCAAGGTGGTGCTCTGTTTTAAGATGTGCATACCTTGATAGAGCACAGCTAGATGCAACCAACCACCGGGCATATTCACGGCGAGTACAAAGGTCACCGGGTTGAACATCAGCCTCAATAACCTAAGAGTGTAAGTATATCAGAGGAGGTATAAACCGTATAATTACAAACAGTTGCGCCCTGATTTGACTGCCAACTGCTGGACTACATGCATCATAATTGAGATTCTTTTGTATAATAGTGACAGAGTTGATGTCCCTAAATATTTAATGATAAAATTGGGAAAGCCAGGCATAATGAAATATTGTATAACTTTGTTTTGCAAAGTTTGAATAAATGAGAGCAAAATGACCAATGACCTTCAAAACTTGTAAGGCTGCTAATGCCTGACTATGGACTTCATCAATGGCAGCAGGAACTAGCACCTTCCCTGGAAGTGCTTGCAGAGATTCAGAGACAGAAGATCGAGCAGGTATGCCAGCATAGACAAAGATACCTTCAGAATTTGAAAAGCTGTAAATTGATCTGTTAAGGGTGTTTTCTTTTTGTTCTTTAGAATTCAGATTCACAACAGTGCCCTCTAATGCTGTTGTTGATAATTCACCTATGTCTGCATCATGGGCTTCTGAAACTAAATTGTCTGCTTCAGTTGGAATCTCGACTACATTCTGTATGCCAACATCCTCAACCATAGATTCTACCATAGAGGCAGACTGTGAATTTACAGCCTCAGCAGATGGCAAATCACGTAAACTGTAGGAGTCTCCTGTTTCATTTAAATTTGACACTCCTTGGTGTTCAATGCTTTGGTTTGTTAAACTGGGTATAACAGCTGGTATACGAGGTGAATGTTTATCATCAAAGTCCTCCCCATATTGTTCATTTAATAATCCTGGTTTTCTAGATGCAAAACTAGCATCTTTGCTTTCAAAGCTTGAGTGACTAAATGACTCAGGAACTCCAGCATCAGGTGTTTCAAATAGATCTTCAGTTGCAAATGAAGTGTCATCACTCACCGCTTCATTGTGAGAACCATGTTTAGTGGGGGCCTTCCCAATTGGGTAACTATTTGTGAATGTGTGCCCTGTGTCGCTACCATCACTGAGAATATTATCAGCAGCTTTATGGTTTTCAGGATGTAAGAAGGGATCATTGTCTATAACTCCATTGATTTCTAGATTGTCATCTTCGTTCACTTTATTGTTGAGGACACTGCTCTTTGATTCAATGGTATCAATGTGATCATCACCAACAACGGTCATTACTTGTTGTTTTTTTAAGGGATCCATTCGTTGCTTCGATCCTGTGCCAAAAGCTCACAATTCATACATCTACTAAAGACTTTACAAATGGGGATTGAAAATGTGATTGCTTGAAAAAAGTATTACCGCTAATGGGAAATAGTAACCTAAAAAATGTAGTTACTGAAAAGCCAAGAAATAATGGAGAGTTGGAAACCAAGATTAAACTACATGCGCAAACAACAACAACAACAGACCTAGTATAAATTCCACAAGTGAGGTCTGGGGGTTCACACAAAACTAACATCCTTTTATGATCATTTAAGCAAAAATATGTAAGCATTACTTACTGGACATGTTGTGCTTGCTTATTGATAAAGTGGCAAAGATAATTCCAGCTACCAAGACAATGCCAGCTACCCCTGCTCCCAAAAGCCCTGACAGTACTTCTAAAGTGTTATCATTTCAGAATAGGGCTAATACAAGGATGCAAAAATGCAGAAGACAAAACTAACATTGTCAATTCAGACGAAGCTCTGCTGAAGAACTGAAGTCACAAATGGATAAGTCAATTTCATAGTCAATTCAGGGAAAATTGATGCAATTGTCAAAACCAATAGATGCGTCAAAACATATAGATGTCAAACCTCACTGCTCACCTGCAATGGACTGCTTCCCCTCAGCATCGTTCGACCTTTCAGCTTCATCAGCTCCGGACCATCCCGCGAATTCATCCGCCGAAGAAACAGAATTAACCAAAAAATCATGCCTTTCCAATCCATTACCATTTCTCCCGAGAGTTTTTCCCCCAATAGAAAGTAAATGCAGCCTGTGATTGTAATCCTTCTTCCCAACATGCACTCTAACCAATAGGTTTGATGGTTTTCTATAACTGAAAGTTAACCGGAGTTGAAAAGAATTCGGAGACAAAGATGCAGTCAAGTAACTCATCTCTGACGCTCAGCCCAATTTTAAGATCTCGTACACAGTGACGAGAGATTAGAAGTGAAAGTTTAGGGTTTTATAGTATGTATCAAACGCTTGTTTGTCTGTGACGATCTTTATCTGATCTCCTCACCGTCCCATTCGCTTTCCCGATCAACGGAATGTAAACCAGAGCCTATTCCATTGCATCACTGCCTTCTACCTAAAATCGAGTAAGGTCACAAGAAAAAAAAAAACTCGTGGTCTTCTATATGTCAAGCATTCTGGAAAATGTCAACGGAAAAAAAAGTAAAAATCAAATTTCATATTTGAGCTTCATTTTCCGGTTGAATACCTTGAATATCACCTATTTTTCATTGACTTTGCTCTCAAACACCGGAAAAAAATAGGAAAAATGACTTCTATAAAGAGCATTTTAGTGCAAGATGCTTTAAGGACTTATGTAGCATTTTAGTGCAAGATGCTTCAACTAAAGAAATTGATGTGGAGCACATATGTAGTTCGAGTTGCTTCATTTTTCAACGGAATTGCTTAGTGAAACAAGTGTGTCTTAATTAAAAAGTTTTTGTAAGAAACTCTCATTAAAGATGCTCTAGGTCATTTTCTTCCTACCCCAAATAAGCCCTAAGAATTTGACTTCATTTTCGTGAAATTTGCTAATACACTCTAAAAAGTTTCAGTTTAAGTTGGGTAAGACCAAACAAATAATGATATTTAGCTTGAACCTATAGATTAATATGTAAGGAAACTTTAATTTTAGATAAAAAAGAATTCATCAATGTCTGTGTTTGAATTGATGTGTTATATATTTAGATATATAATGCTATTATATATTTTCCATATATTAATACTTTTTCAAAACATTGTTGGAAAAAATACGAAGAAGTTAAAAGAAACTAGAAAGAGTTTTACAAGTAGAAATCATTCTAAATAGGACTAAAACATAGATAAAAGTACCAAAATAGGACTTTCATGTTTTTTTTCCCAGAATAGAACTTTACACTGTGGTAATATGACCTTGCATTGTGGTAATGTGGCAGAGTACATGTGCAAATTACTATGTTTTTTTGGTAATGTATATGACCACGGTTCGTAATGTAAGTCCTATTTTGGGAATAAAAACATGAAAGTCCTATTTTGGTATATTTTCAAAGTTTTAGTCCTACTTTGGTCTTTATCCCTTTTACAAGAGACAACATTCCCCTAGCTTATCAAATGCCCAAGCTTCAACTGCCACCTGAATTCTCGTTGATCCACACCCAAAGCCTAGACCGGCTAACCAATGGACAGACTTCATCCTCCTCGGCTGATGTTAGTGTCACACTAAATTCCTTTGACAATTGACACAATCTCACGCAGGAGAGCAAAAATCAAGCCTTTTCAAACCGACCGAAAAAACGGAAAAAAATTAAAAGTTAATTTTTCCAACTCAAAACAGAACCTTAGTATAAAATCTTCACTAGCAAAACAAGTTATGCTCAAATGAACAAGTTCACAGTCGTTTATTAGCAGTCAAAAAATAAACATACAGAATATCTACTTATACAAGAATTAAAATGTGTTACTATAATACTGCAAATGATATAACCTCAAACAATATTACAGTTATACAGAGTATAATTTTATAAATCCGAAAGCTTAGATTTAAATGAACAAGAAATTCCTAATCATATAATTAAATAAGCATGGAGTATATTATAAGCTTGGTCAATGAACTCTCTGTTCCTCCCAACCAAGTTACAAAGAAAAGCCACTAGAACATGAGTCAACAACAACAACAAAAAGTTTTAGTACAAGCCTTTCTTCCAAGTCATTTCTGAGATGTGAATGTTGCAGTACATATCTCTGGATATCAGATGTTAGGGGAATCCACGAAACCCGTGCTCAGATTAGAGGGAGTAAAACTGTGAGTATAAGCACTCCCGAATTGTATAATATTCTTCGGAGAGTGGGCCCTCAAGAATGATCTGTTGAGTAGCAGCAGCTGCAGCACCCTGTAACCATTGTGTCTCAATATCAGAACCAACGAAAGTTTCATTGGAGTTCATCACATGAAATGCAAGTGCTCAAAAGTACATGGGTTTCGACATATAATTGTAAAGAAGCGTCACCCTTTGGCTTGCATCTCCTACTTTTCGCAGAGTCACATATTCCCCACACCTCAAGGCTCCACCTGCAAATTCTACCTGGAAACACAACATCAGACGTTATGGGCATAAATGCATAAAATAAGAACAATAATAACTTTAATAATAAAACAAAAGATTAAAGCTTAAGACATTAATTTACACCTGTACGCCCTTGTTTGCAAGAAACTGCTTGAAATCTGACAACTTCAAGTCTCCAACAAGTACTGTTTTATGTGCTGGAGCAGGATGAGAAAGAGGGAGTAAAGATGACACGCCACTGTCTGTTTTCCCCACTTCAGCATCAACCCATGCTATTTCATAGTCTCCAAGCTGGAATTACAAACACTAAAGTAAGTGATGCGAGGGCCCAAGAGAAATATTGAAGATTGAAACAACAACAATAACTCAATTGGATCCCACGAGAATAGGGTATGGGGACGGTGTGTGCACGCAGACTTTACCCCTACCCGAAAATAGAGGGGCAGTGCAACCCTACCCCTACTGAAAAAGGTTCAGAGTCGCTCTCGACGGTCTTTACCCTAGTTCCTGCCCCATCGTACATGATCGCGCAGGTGTAAGCAATCAGAATTCATCTATATTCAAGACACCTCCACAAGACCTCCCTAGGCACCTTATCGTACGCCTTCTCAAGGTCAATAATTACCATATGAAGTTCCTTCTTCCTAGCCATGTACTCTTCCATCAACCTCTGCACAAGATGAATGGCTTCTTTGGTCGATCTGCCAAACATGATACTTAATTGGTTTTCAGGAACGGACACCCTTTTCTACAGCCTATACTTGATGACTTGCTCCCGAACCTTTATGATGTGGCTAAGCAATTTGATGCCTCTGTAATTCTCGCAACTCAGAATGTTGCACTTACTTTTAAACAGAGGGACCAACATGCTCTCCCTCCACTCGTCCGGCATCCTAGCTGTCCGGAAGATAACATTGAAGAGTTTGGTTAACCATACCAAACCACCAAGCCTCGCATGCTTCCAAAACTCCACCGGCATCTTATATGGCCCCAAAGTTCTCCCACTACGCATCCCACGAAATGCTCGAGCAACCACCTCATGCCTAATGCGCCGACAATACTCAAAGTCTCGAAGCGCCTCAGACTGCCCCAACTCACCTAGCTCGAGCTTCTAAGAGGCCACAAAAGTACTCCACCCAACGTTTTGCAATCTCTGTAGTCTCAACCAACACTCTACTGTCGTTGTCCTTCACGCATCTCACGTGGTCTAGATCTCGTGCCTTCCTCTCATGCGCCTTCACTAGCCAAAAAAGTTGCTTATCACTGCCCTGAACTTCAATGTCCTTATAAAGGCATTCAAAAGCTACATTCTTCACCTTTGTAACCTCTAGCTTAGCTTCCTTACCGTGGTTATTAAATCAACAAGTCGAGTGGAGTCAGTTAAAAGGGGACTAGTGGACTAGTCGTAGACTAGTCGACGAATTACAATTGATATTGAAATTTTTAGCATTATATATATATATATATATATATATATATATATATATATATATAGACCAAAGATAACAATATATTATTATATGACAAGATATCATTACAAAAACAAAAACAAAATTATGTTTAAAGCTAGCACATCTAGTCACATAACAAAAGGTACATAAGAAACAATATTATGTTTCAGACGAAAAAATAAATATTAAATTAAGTTCCTAACTCAAAGTGCAAGCCAATGTGCGAAAATAAGAACCTAGAATGTCATTACCCTTAAAAAACTAAAAGAAGCAAAAAAATATTAACTGAAATCAGCAAAAAGTGATAAATTAAGAAACAACAAATATTAAATGAAAAATTACAAAAACCGAAGAAAAATGAAAAATAAAGAGTATAATATACTTTTATTACTTTAATAGTTTAATGAACCAAATTAAAGAAAATCAAACTAAATTAAGAGTCTACTTTAGTGATAAAGCATTAAAGATATAAAATCTAGAGACTGAGAATCTGGAAGATGAAGAAGAATCAATTCCAAAAAATTGATCCTGGATCGGCTCGGCTGGAAGATGATGGAGGAGATGTCGTGATTGGGAAGGGTTGAATGTCGACAAATCCTGGATTGCGATTGGGAAGGTTAAATGTTGACAATTCTGGAATCTGGGTTGCGATTGTGCTGAACCGATCGGGTAATTTTTAAAATTAAATGAAATTTGGGTCAGGTTGGGTCAAATTTGGTAGGTTTTCTTTTCCGCCTAGTTGACGCCTATACACGCCTAGGCGACGCTTTACTCACTTGGACGATTAGTCTTTCCTATTCGCTAGGCGACCAGCAAATTCTCATCTACAAACCGCCTGGACGACTAGTCGGTGACTAGTTGTTGCCTAGGCGACGACTTGACAGCAATGTTCCTTTCGGGCAATTTTATACTCCGCTCGCGGAGCTCTATCCTCCTCCGGGCAATTTTTAGTTAGTATTCTTGCTGGCTGTCAATCAAATTTAAGTCATCAACCACATCAATTTTGGAACTTTACTGCCGAAGTTTTAAAAAAGGATAGGAAATTTCAGAATAATATAATTACTGCCAAAGTTTAATATTATTGTGTAAATCCAGAGTGGAACAGACTGCATGCCGCTTACCTTCTTAAAAAGCACATTGCTCATTAACTGCTCTGATAGTTGGACCTATCACACCAAGGAATAGAAAGCAAATGCAAAACTTGGATCAGTATTTGCCACTTTAAAGTGATTGTCATACCTGAAAAAGATAATACAACCTTATATGCACACAAATCTGAAGTGACATCAATCATTTCTTCAATTTTTGGAGCATAAACATGTGTGCATACATGCTTTAGACAATGTTGTTTCAAATGCTCTGTTGCTTCGGCTGTACCGTGTACTAAAACCTGGAAATGAGAACATAATAGATGATTCAAATCTGGGAGATCAATATCTCCTCGTCATCTACTAAAAATGGTCGATACAGTCCATGAGAAAATTGTAGGGTAATTGATTTTAAAGTGCAAATTAGGCTACACTACATAGCAACTTAGCATATTCCCACAGAGTTATGGAGTTTATGTAGTTGTTTGAGAACAAGCTAATATGGGGTAATTCTATAAAATGAGGTTTTGGTTTAGCCTTTGCTCAGGCCGCTCAACAAGAGGCCACTATAGATCCCGGTAGGTAATAGCAACAAACCACCCAACTCCATTAGGGTTTGGCAGTCAAGATTTACGTAGTCTTACCCCTGTAAAAACAGAGACTGTTTCCATTAGACTCATAATGCGTTGCAGCATTTACTACCCAAAACTTCAGTGAAAGTAAGATACAAGGAGAATCTAAGGTGTCATTTTGATTACCCATTACTCACCTGAAGCTAAAAAATATTATCAAAATTGACTCTTTTAACTCCATAGAGAATGGACATCCAGTAGGTAATAACATTTTCTATCTTCCCAACATGAAAAAAGTTTACATAGTACAGAAATCATGCTTTCCATCATCTCCGATGGAGTCAAAGATTTACTATTTTTTGGCTTTGGGGCACGATGGAATAAAGCAAATTTGTTCTTTAAAATGTCTGCGCTTCTTTGAATAGTGAAGTAGCAAATAGTCAATGCAACTTTAGATGCTCATCATGGGTCATCAGGAAACAGCCGCTCTATGTTTTAAACATAGGGTCAGGCTGCGTTCATCCGACCCCCCCCCCCACCCCAAAAAGGGCGGAAGCCTTTGAGACACTGGGGTAATGTTGTTGTAGTACGGAAATCACAGAAATGTGCAATAATATAATGAAATGCAACAAAGTAATTCATGCTTGTCTATAATATAGAGAGCATAATTAAAGAAATCAAAAATATAATGAAGTATCATAAAAATATCAGTTCTTTCATTTAGAAAATAAAAATTAAATAAAAGCACATCAAAACACAAGAAACAGCACATCATGAAACAGTAGCATGAAAGTGTGTACAAACAAGCTTTAATGGAGCGACATGGGCAAGAATTGATTTCATTGAGCGACCATCAGATCGGCCTTCAAAATCCATGTAAAGTAATGAGCATTTCACTAGGACCTGTGTAGGATGAAAGTACATAAAAAAAATAGTGTCAAATAAAACCAAGCAATTGAATTTGTCAATCTTTACAATAAGTGAAATTTGCACTCAATAAGACTAAAACATAATGACTTTCCTAATATAGGATTTAAACATTTTTATTCCCTAAATAGGACTTAATAATGACCATGTGGGAGGAATAATGTCCAGTAATGATGGGTGGACATTTACTTGAGTAATGACTACTTGATAATGACCAAAAGTCCTACATTGAGAAATAAAAACATATGGTCCTATATTGGGAAAGTCATTATGTTTTAGTCCTATTTAGGTAAATTACTCTTACAATAAAGGAAATTTGAATGAGGTAACAGCAAACAATGTTTTTTAATTCACAAGGTGGTTCATATTAAAAAAAATAAAGCAAGCCACTTTGTCAAGTTAACTGCTACAATAGAAATGTGTTAAAGAAAACAATAACCATGCTCAATGGGAAAGCCTTTTAAAAGAGAAGTTGAAAATCGGCCTCCTCCTTTCGACAACAAGTCATAATGTCATATTATGACAACTCAAATTGGAGCACCTCGGTGCTCAGTTCGTAAAATTGTTGGTTCCTACCCCCCTAAACATCCAGCACGGGGGTTAGGGGGTAGGAACCATCAATTTAATGATTAAGCACCTAAAGTGCTTGAATTTGAGTTGTTGTCATAATATGACAACAAGAGTTGTTTTCAAAATAACCAAAGAGTTTAAAAGTATTTTTGAAGACTTGAATGAAGCTAAGACTTACAGTTAAACCAGAAGATACAACTTTTGATGGTGTAGTATCGAATATAAGGCTAGCAGATCCTTCATCAAGTTTTCCTTGAAGATCTCCATCAACCTAAGCAGAAAACTTTGTCAGATTGACAGATTGAATAGTACAAAAAAGGCAATCCACATAGCTTCTAATTATGAAGTATCATATCTACTTTTCTTAAGTTTATCTGATCTTATCTCTCCTTTTTCCCCTATTATTAATAGTAATTGATAAAATTGAATACAAATCCTGAAAGATATTTTATTTACTGTTGTTCCTTTTGTAGTTGTTTTATAATGTTTTCTTTTCGTGTTTTTAACTGTCCTGTCTTTTTGTAGCTCTTTTATGTTAATTTATTGCATACCCTGTTGTCTAAACCATTTTTAACCAGACTACTCACAGTGGATTTCACCTCCTAGTGTTTTTTTATGTTTTAAAAATTTTCAAACTTTGAACTTCTAAAACTTCCCAAAATTTTCAATAGCCAAGTGTTTTCAAAGAGACATACCTACTCCTAAGATGTGAGTTCTAGGTGCATCAACATCCCATTCCAGATTCTCGTTTCTCTTGTTCTATCCCATTCCTGTTTCTCGTTTCTCTTGTTCTATTCCATTCCCGTTTCTCGTTCTCTTGTTCTATTAATCTGTATTCCACTCGTGATCATGGAAGCTAGAAGTGCAACGAAAACAAAAACTTACAGTCATCAATGATTGCTCAATATGTTCATCCTTGTTCACATAATCATCAGGATTGATGACTTCACCAAAATCATCCCATTCGACGGGGTTATCGAAGCAGGGAAATATTGGTGCGACACTAGAAGAAGGGACAACAAACCCATCGATAAATACATCCTTGAAGGCCCCAACTTGTCTTCTGGTAACTGCAACACGATCGCCAAAAACATTAAACTAGATGAAGAATACTCTTGTTGAGCATTTCTACAACATTACCATTTGAAAATGAATTTGTGACAGTAGATGTATCAATGATCATGGGGTCATTCACGTCATGGCCACTCCCAAAAGATTCTTTTGATTCAACATTTTTAAGCATACTAGCTTTTAGAGCTTCCTCCTTTTTTATTCTATTCTGCTCCTCCTCATAAGCAGCTAACTCTTCCCCAACCAAAGGTATTCTCTTTGACATGGTAACTTTAACTACTTTAGGAGGCGGATCCGATTGAAGCACGCGTGCAAGTGTGCCAAACTATATGCATTGTCAAGATACCATACAAAGCAATCATTATTAGATTATGCAATAAATCATGGCAAGAAATATGATTTTTCTCTATATAAAGACTAAATGCTACAGTAACAGTGTATGCTCTAAATGATCAGAAATTAGAGATAAAGTGTCTTGAAATGCGGGGGAATCCATGAATGAAAAAATATATGAACTGCTTTAGATGATCATGGTGACAAAGAATTACAGGTGTGTAGATAAACATAACTCTCACAATTATCAGCGCCTTAATCCAAATTAGTAGGGGTCAGTGGTTTTTAAGTTACATTGGCAATTAAATAATTGTTTTCATGAATTTATAGCATTGCCTAATTTTATATATTTAGAGCATTAACTGATTTTATATATATTTAATTGCCAGTACAAGTATACAACAATAACAAACCCTGTAAAATCCCTCACACCCTACTTTTTGTGGGATTTTACTGGGTTTGTTGTTGTTTGCATGAATTTATAGCAATTAAATATTTTACTCCTAATTCATTTCAAATTGCAACCTTCATAACAAGGAAAAATGCAATGAAGTTCTAAAACCATCACCGTGCTAGGTAACTTCCACGTGGATGGAAATTATCGTGAGATGATGATGGGTTAAAATGGTTTCTACTTTCATTTCCATTACATAATTGATACTCCGTACTACTTAAAGTCTAACAAGTAAACCGTGACAAATAAATTTATAGTAACAATTTTAGTGAGTCTTAAGGACATATAAGTAGATGACAACCCCTCTTTCCTAAAAAGGTTATTGGTTTGTTTTACATTCATTTAAAAAATAATTTCTTTTTAAGAAAAGAGTTGTGTGGTTCATATTACTTATTTCTCCTCAAACACAATTTTATTATTCTCAATCACTGTAACTATTGTGTTCCCTTCCATATTTTTGTGCAGGTTGAGCCGGGGGTCTCTTGGAAACAGCCTCCCTACTTCCGAGTAGGGGCAAGGTCTGCGTGCACACACCCTCCCCAGACCCTACTGTAGTGGGATTCAACTGGGATGTTGTTGTTGTTGTTGTTCAATCATTGTAACTATAAGGTCAAACATAGGACCTTTTTTATAGGACATGAATATATCCTTATTACTATTAATATTATTGTTTGAAAATAGCCTCTCTACTTTTGAGTAGGAACCCTTCCTATACCCTACTTTTTGTGGGATTTTACTGGGTTTGTTGTTTATTGTTATGGTTGTTGATATTAAAAAAGGATGAACCCCATCCTAGGGTCCCCCAGTCCAGAATGCGCAAGAACCCCATGTAGAGCATGGACGTTCAACATTGTCATCAAACCCAGGCATTACCCTTGTTTGCACCTCCTCTTGAACAACTAAGATTGGCCCCCGGACTTGGGGGTTGTTGATATGGTTGTCATTGGTGGCAGTGATGGTGTTATTGTTATTACATATCTTAATGTGGTGCTAATTTTATCTCTTCATCCCAAAATAAGCTCCAACTTTCTTTTTTGGATTGTCCAAAAATAAACTTTGCATTCCTTTAAGAAAATATCAAATGCTTCCCATTATTTTTTTTCCTCTGCATAAATGTGAACCACACAACTTCACATCTTGGTCAACATATCTCTGGATTAATAGGAAAAGTGTTCCTTTTTATATCTAAAGATAAGTTATACAAAGAAAGAAGGGGTTGTATATAATAAAGTCAACACCGGGGGAGTAACTGCACCAAAGCACCTGCTTTCGCTTTGTTCGTGCAAAAGAAATAAGAAATGGGTGTAAGGAAGAGGTACGAAATGAGTTTCACATAGTTCAAAGAATTCAGTTGATGAGTTAAACATTATGAATCATTACACTCATTTTGTACCTCTTGGTCAAATAAGTTGAGCACTACCGAGTACCGCCCACTTCTTGTTAAAGGTCTTCATGGAAACAATAACTCTACTCATGGGGTCTATGTACATCTTAATCTTCCATCCTTTGTTTGGTTTATTGATTTTAAAAACAATGACCTCCTTTGTCGTTATATTGTTGTTCTTGTCATTACTTTTATCGAATCATAATTTATGTAAATATGGAAAGATACAGAGAGATGAATCACAATACAAACAAAAAACAATGATAGCGAGTAAACCTAGAAAAACTTGATATAACTTGTAAAAGCCTAAGCATCGAAGCTCTGTTGCTCTGATACGGTGTGAGCCATGCCTCACGGTTACACCTCAAAGAACTTTTTAAATCATGCCATAAATATAATGCCGACAAAGCATACACAAGAACCATTACACATATATCTTATTTATAGACCTTAGTTATAGACAGGTGAAAACAAACCTGCCCTCTTTCAGTGAATAAAACGAGATTACTTTTATCAGTGGCCCACTCAACAAATATGTCATGTGAAAATCCAGCTTCTAGACTAGCCATGGATGCTAGAACAACCTAAATACGTCATATTGTCAAATTATAAAAATAAATAAAGCACCATAAAGTAACCTAACTGTTTAATTAAAGAGACGTTCCAACCTTGGGACCTTCTGGCAACTTCTCAAAATCATTCTTATTTACCAAAAGCGTGATATGCCTGTCAATTTATGAAATAAATGTCTAGTTAATTTTTGAAAACTAGAAAGATTGGATGTCTTCAACTAACAGAAACTGAGTAGAGAAAGTGATTGCATACTATCACAAACAGTTCAAAGATGGCATAAAATGAAAAATAATGGTAGCAGATCTTGAAAAAAAATGATGGCATATGACTATATAAGTGTGGTACTGTAAAGAGGTAGGATGCTTTTCCTGGCTGGTTAGCATAGTTATCAAGGCGTCACCTAGGCGTCCTGGCAGTCACCTCCTCTCGCCATGATGTATCGCCTCACCTTATTTTGCATTCCTTGCCTAGGAGTCGCCTAGGCCTCTCCTAGGCGTCTAGGCATCGCCTTTTGAAAATCCTTTATGCCTTTTAGTCAGTGACTTTTTTCATAATCAGTATTTAGTTTGCACTAAAAGTCCCATATTATGTTTTAATCATGTTTTGTATTTCATATTCTTCTTTTTTTCATATAATGGTGAGTTTATATTTTTTTTTAAGTATGTGTATATGAAATTTTGATTAGGTTTAGAGACCAAATATGTTTATATTTAAATTAGTGTTACTTAGGGTTGGTCCCATATTGTGTTTTAATCATATTTTGTATTTCATATTATGGTGAGTTTATATTTTTTTTAAGTATGTGTATATGAAATTTCGATTAGGTTTAGAGAACAAGTATGTCTATATTTAAATTAGTGTTACTAATGTATCCCAATGCTAATTTCTTATGTATTGCCGCCTAGGCGACAATTAGGCAACTGGGCGTCATGACGGTTCACCAGCGCCACATCTCACCTTGGCGGCGTGATAACTACGCTCGTTAGTATTTAACAATTGCAACACATATTTTTAAAGGTTCACCGCAGAATTATTTTACCCAGATGGTACATTGATATCCATGGTGCATGCCACTAAACCTAAGTTTAATAAATTTTAATACCAGAGTATATTTTGAAACAAATGGTTAAATGGGTGAAAGAAACTGATCTTACTTCAAGCGAAAAGCATTATCCCGTCTATCTTCAAATGACTTGGCAATTGAATCGCCCATCCACTCAAGGAAGCTTTTGACAAAATCGATTGTACTTGATGCAACATATGTTAGGAAAAAAACAGGATAGCTCAAGCCCTTATGATGCCAATGCTGAAAATTTTTACAGCAAAAAAAAGCAAGTCACTCAAATTAGTTGGTGACAAAATGCAATGACTTCACTGTCATACCAATTTCTAACTCACCTGTTCAAGCAATAAAATGAGTTCCAATACTCTACCAGCAGTATCTACGGGTAGTAATACTTTTCCATTGGCTTTTAAAGTTTTCTCAATAGTGTCTGCATTAAATGAAAAAACAAGCTCGGAAAAGTAATCACAAAAAAAGAACCTTTATCTAAGTCAAGAAAGTCCAAAGATCTAGTGACCTTTTCTAGAAATGGTTATGGGTTTTAAATTTGGGATGCAAGAATATGTTTAAACCTGTTTTGTTAAAGCAAAGTCTACGTATGTCCACCTACTGAAAATCTGAAACTAACAACGTGCAAATTACTCCTAGGGAAAAGTTTTACCTAGGAATTCTTGATCTCTCTTGCGTCTTGAGGGTTGATTGCTCAAAGCATTATAGGCATCGGTGATCAGGACAGCAGGGCGAACAAAAGATTCTAAAACAGTTCCATTTAAATGCCTGGTAGAAGCAAGAGAAATCAGTGTCATTCTAACTTTTACTGTAACTATAAAACAAAAATTCTAATATGTGACCTTTCTTTGCCATGATTGAAGTCAACAGCATATATAACATCTTCCCCATCTTTTGTTATCTTCCAAATTGTACCACCCAGCAGATGACCAGCTACATGTGGAGCAATGACAACTCCTTCACCTTTTCCTGACATTGAGATAACCATTTACAACCAGAGATAACAAGAAGATACATGTTGTCCGGTTGTTTTCTGCTTTCTCCTTGCTTGGGTTTCTACAAATAAAAAACCACCCTAACCTCCATCTCTCCCTCTTTTTTTGTTATGAACTTATGATTTTTTTATTCTTCATAAGCCCAAAAGTGATACTATATTCTCCTACCATCCCCCCCACTCGTGGGATTTGACTGGCTTGTTTGTTGTTGTTGTTGTATCTCCCACACTCTCATCCTTTTTTAGCAATACATCTGAGAAGATAGGCACTTCATATTCTTTTTTTTTTTTGTGGGATTTGAGGATGAAACTTTTGATATAGGTTTATAGGCCTCACATTTGATAGGTCCTGAAACATATTCTTGGACTACCCTAGCGGTGATGACATATGACAACAACAGTATCAGCAAAGCATCGGGGCTTGGGAGAAATGAACTTAGCCAGATCCTCATATCCATATATACTCCGCTAGAAAGGCAGGAAAAGATTTGAGTAGATAAATTAAAAGCAACGACAACAACCAAGAGTAGGGTCTGGGGAGGGTGTGTGTACGCAGACCTTACCCCTACTCGAAAGTAGACCCCTAGTTCAGCGTCAAAAGTTGCATTGATTGACCCTACTTCATTAATTGAAGCGCAAACCGTTTAGAGATCCATTTTTCTTTATTCTATCACCCAGAGCCAAAAATATAGTGAATAAAACAAATAAAACAAAACATCTATCTGACATATGATGGAAATTAGATATATTAAAAGCAATTAAGAAAAATGTCACAAATAAAACAAAACATCTACCTGATATATGATAGTTCTGAGAGTATGTTAATCTGGTTACATTTTGGAATGCATGGTCAATATCATCCAGAGAAAACAAATTGAAATCTGACACTTGCTGCAAAAGGAATAAATCAACAATCAATGTCAACAAGCGCAACCTGTATAAAAGACAACCCAATTGTTAATAAGATCTTCAAAAATAAATTTACCTTCCTCGATAGATATTGATCATACATGGTTAGTAATCCTAATCTATAAACAGGTTCAGTTGCAAACACAGGCGCAGCTAATCCAAGCTGCTTCATGGCATAGGGAAGGGCACCGAGATGAAGCGTGTCTGGGTGTGAGAGCAACACAGCATCCACAGTTGATGCTACCCTGAAAAGAAGTACAAGATCCTTGAGCAGAAAATACTACTAGTGACATGGTAGCATTTATATATGACAAACTGCTGTTACTAACATGGTTTATTGGACTAAACAGTAGATTACATTATGTTAGAACACAAATTAGTATCAAAATATATAAGAAAATTGATGAAATTTGAAGCTTGAAAATGGAAATCAAAATTTCCCATTTACTCTCATAATTGTTGTTACCTAACTATGGAATTACCCGAGTATATAGTGCCCTAGAGTAACTGACATGCCATTACAGGGGTACAATCAATTCCCAGCTGTTCACTGTAGTAAGATGATAATACGAGAACCCATAAATTCTACTCTCTATGTCCCTAATTTGATTGCAAATTGGGAATTACGAGACAAAATTTCTCATCTTTTGAAATCATTTTATTTACAAATTGCTACATCAATAAGAAATAAAAATGACATATTAAAAAACTGAGTCAAATAGTGTATGAAAACACGCAATAAGAGTGTGGTGGAGAGACCTGGAGAGAGGTTGAAGAATGGAGGGATCGAAGTGGTCATTCCAACCACAATCAATAAGAAAATTAAAGCCGTCAACGGAGACAAGGTATGAGAGAGGGTTTTCATTGTACACTCCGCACAATGGCTTCACCTGCACCGATGTTCCCATGGATGTATTTCTCTTCTCTTTCGAAGTAACTTTGAGGAATTAGTGTGATGCTAGCAGGGGTAGGGTTTACTGAAACAGGCCGGCGTGTTTCCTTCAGTGACGCCGCGGAGCGGCGATGGCGGGAGACCTTTTTGAAACCCGTCACAAGCTTCTAACGCAGGAATTTCTTGTAGCTCCCCGGCACTACACGAACTTTGGAGGAAGCTCCCCTGCACCGCCGCCGCCAAAACCTAAGCCAGCACTTTGCCTTTCAAACGTCAACTTGTCCACGTTAAATTCTCTCCCTAACAAATTTTAACCACACTATTAACTAGGGAATTGATATTTGCACTCCACTAATGTTAACTACACTCCAATTGTACACATCTTTGTTCAAAATGACTATAATACCCTTAATTTTTTATTTGACTTACCAATATTGACGGTAGCTCAATTTTTTTCAAAAATAGTACTCTTTTATTTGTTTTCTTTTACAAAAATAGTCTTATCTTATTCTTTTTTATTTATAGATTTACTATTAAGAAAACTGTAACTTTTTTCAATGGGTCATGCTACACTTACACCACAAATTATACCCCATTTGTACACCGCAGTTATACACAAACATTTTGATGGTTTACACCGACACAAGTGTTGGTGCGTTAACAAAAATTTATACGGACACAAAGTGTTGGTGCATTAACAAAAATTAGTTTTACACCAACACTTTGTGTTGGTGCAAAGCTGCGGGGTACAAAGTGAGGTACAAAAATTGGGGTACAAATAGCTTTATCATTTTTCAATTCCTATAATAATGCAATGCCCTTAAAACCAGTTTTTTTGTTTCGCTCTCCAATCTTGACAAATGACAACAACGTACTCAATTTGCACTCCACTATTTGAAAAAATATGTTTATCAAAACAATTTATACTTCATTTGTTTGATATTTTTATTTTCTATTTTTGTCCAAACTACTTTTCGATACATTTCTATTTTTTAGCTATGTCTATATAACAAAGTAAATTTATTTTGTCAATATAACAAAGTGAATTTATTTAGTCGTTGTTAGTTGTTGACTGTAACTTCAGCTGCTGTCAATAATATATTGGTAAGCCAAACAAAATTCAATGTAAGGATACTATTGTCATTTTAGAAAAAGATAGTTAGATGTGGAGTGTAGTTAACATTAGTGGAGTGCAAATATCAATTGCCATTGACTATTAAGGGCATGAACCTTTGAATGAAATTAAAACTATTAAGGGCGTGTTCTTTATCACTAGGAAAAAAAGTAAAATGTTGGAAGGATTGAAGAAAACTATAAGAACTCGAATGAATTGGAAGGATCTAGAATAAACTGAAAAAAATTTAAAAAAAAATTGAAAAAAAAACTTTTAAAAATTTTATTTTAATGTATTTTTATATTATTCTCATTCCCATTCTGGTTATTATAAATTATTATTATTATTATTATTATTATCATCATCATCATCATCATCATCATCATCATCATCATCATCATCATCATCATCATCATCATCATCATCATCATCATGTTATCTTAATTAATGTCTTTAAGATAAAAAAAGTATAATTATTTCTCATACAAAAAAAACTACTTTTACCAAAAAAATTGTAATTAAAGTTAGCATAATTGCATAAATATCAGAATGTTAAATATTAAAAATTTATTGTGTTTACATTGTATCTTAATTTATTTATGCAGTATTTATTATAAAATAATAAATTTGTAATTATATTTTGTATATTACAAAATTTTGTTTTAAATATCAGACATGTCACATAATGAAATCAAACATATTCTTCTTTTATGATTGACATTTTATTTTCATGGTAACTCCTATTTTTGAAATAAAAAACATAAAAACTTTATTTTTGTACAATTTTTGATGTTTTACTTTTATTTTAATCTTTTTCTCTAAGCTACTTTGAATTTCAAATTTTTAAAAAAAAATTAAAAAGTGAAAAACAAAATGTAATTTAGAGATAAACAAAAATGAGAAAAAATTAAATAATAAATGGAAAGGTGAGGGGTCTTATATAAATTTAGATTAATAAAATATTCTATATAACTATTTTATCCATAATTTTTTAATATAGTTTAAAATATTGATGTTTTCCTATTTTATCATGTAGATTAATATACATAAAAATTTGTCTTATTCATATTAAAAAGTAGAAGAAAAAATAATAATTAGCGTGAATCGTAAAAATAATGAGATAAACTCTAATTATAAACTTAATAGTTGTAATAAGAATAATCAATATATTAAAAATATATCGTTTTTAGAATAATTGATCAGGAAATAGAAATAGTTTAAAGAAAATGAAAATAGTTTGAAAGGACTGAAATAAACTGGAAGAACTGGAAGAAACTCAGATAAAACTAGAAGGATTTAGAATTTAAGAATTTAATCCCTAAATAAACAGACTCTAAATCAGTCTCATTCAGGTGATATTCAACTTTAATGTTATAAAATGACCCGAGCAATTTATGTTGCTCCTGTAGGATCGTTTTCTGTAACTTTTCACTGGGTCACCCATCTTGGACTTTTCCTGTTCCAGGATGCTTAACCACAGAGTTCTGAAGTTAAAGAGACGCCAAATGCTTCCTAAAACCAATTGGTGATAGGAAGGTGGACATTACTATTTAACCACATTTCTTTCTAGCTCCAAGACAAGGAAGATTCCTATAGGGCACTCCCTACAGTTCACTACAGCAGTGCGGAGCTCACTACTGAGCGGTGGATAGACAGGAGGGCTTCGCAAGATACACGACTCATATACCACATCAGGTTGGGCTGTCAATACCTGACACCGTGACAAGCACAATAGCGAATCTCTGAGGGTGATTGATGGTCCCCATAAGACCAACAAAAATTTCGTCAAAAAATGTGATGGTACCCCTAAAGCTCGAAGCCAAAACTAAAAAACAATAGCTTAGACATTATTGACAAATCTTTTTGACATGAAACTTTTATAAAGGATTTTACATGCAAATAGAATACATCCATATCAAATTTTGCAACTTTTTTAATGGATTTAAAATTTGGCAAACCTCTAAGAGCTCAAGACCAAATCTAAAAAATAATAATTAAGATACTGTTGACAAGTCTTTTTTACATGAAATTTTTAAAAATGATTTTAAATGCAAATAACAACATCCATGACAAATTTGGAAACTATTTAGATGGATTCAAAATCTGGCCAAAAAATGTAATGGTACCCCAAGAGTTCGAGACCACAACTAAAAAAAATAACATTTTAGACATTATCGACTAGTCTTTTTGACATTAAAATATTTACAAAAGATTTTACATGCAAATAGAAACACTCATATCAAATTTTGCAACTTTTTTATGTATCTAAAATTTGGCCAAAAAATTAACAGCACCCAACAGCTCGAGCCCAAACTAAAATAATAATAATAATTAAGACATTATTGAGAAGTCTATTTGACATAAAATTTTAACAAAGGATTTTACATGCAAATAGAAATAGCCATGTAAAATTTGGCAACTTTTTTGATGAATTTAAAATTTGGCTAAAAAATATGATAGTGCCCCTAGAGCTCGAGACAAATTTTTAAAAATTATAATTTAGTCATTATTGACAATTTTTTTACATGAAACTTTTATAACGGATTTTACATGCAAATAGAAATATTTGCATTTTTTTTTATATATTTAAAATTTGCCCAAAAATGTGATGTAAACTATAAGAACTCAAGGCGTAAACTAAAAAATAATAATTAAGATGTTATTAACAAGGCTTTTTTTACCTTAAACTTTTACAAAGAATTTTACATGCAAATAGAAATTCATGTCAATTTTGGAAACTTTTTTGATAGATTTAAAATTTAGCAAAAAAATGTGATGGTGCCCCTATAGCTTGCTGCCAAAACTAAAAATATAATAATTTAGATATTTTTGACAAGTCTTTTTGACATTAATTTTTTTACAAAGAATTCTGCATGCAAATAGAAATATCCGTTACAAATTTGACGACTTTTTTTTATAAATTTAAAATTTAGCCAAAAAATGTGATGGTACCCATACAATTCGAGGCCAAAACTAAAGAAATAATAATTTAGACATTATAGACAAGTCTTTTTGACATACAACTTTTACAAAGAATTTTAAATGCAAATAGAAATATTCATGTCAACTTTGGCAACTTTTTTGATGAATTTAAATTTGGCCAAAAAATGTGATGATATCCATAAACCTCGAGGCCAAATATGGCCTCGAGCTCTAGGGGACATTATTAAAATGAGATTAATGTTTATATTCTGTATACTACTCTTCCGTCTCAATTTAATAGACTATTTCGGTTTATGAAGTTTGATTGAAGTTATTTTCAAATCATTTTATATGAAAAATGAAATAGAAAGAAAAAGTAATTAAACCATACATTTAAAAATAATATTAAAAAGTCTACAAAACTAATAGCGACATGACTATATTATTTTAGTGAAAGAATTGAAGATGAATGAACTTTGATCATATCAATAGTAAACATGTTTAATTTGAGATGGAGGAAGTATTTATTAGGAGAGTCCTTGTATGGTGTAACTTAGATGCATACCATTTTTATGGACTTTCTCACATAATTTTTTTTATTTTGTATTATTGAAAAAACAGGTTATTTAAGTAATAAAGTACGGAGTAATACTCAATAATAGACCTTAGGAAAAAAAGAAATGGTGAAAATAACGGAGCATCTCACATCGAAGATGATGGATCTGGCCAGTTGTCTTGTTCTGGATCGTAGTAGTTAGCCTTAATTAGCACTATAATCAACAAAGTAATGATTGCCTAAATGTCCGAAATTCCTAAGCCCTCCCTCCAGTCCTCCTCCACCCAAAGTCCCATGTCTACGCTTTCACAAATCACAAGGATTCGCCGGTGAACGGTCACTTTTACCTCACCCTCACACCATTGCATTTCTTTTTTAATTAACCTACTGTACCCTAATACGTAGTATGATATATCCCATTTGTATATACTCCCTCCGTCCCACTATATTCGTCCACTTTTGATTTTTGGAACTGTTCATCTAATCACTTTGACTCATCAAATTCTCTCCATGTGTAAGCCTAAATATAGTCATGTGTGATCTTGCTTGATTTGTCTTAACATATAGATTATTAATATATAATTTCTATAATTTTTTAATATACAAATTACAAGATAAAATGGATTAAAGAAGTATATTAGATGGTGTGTAAAAATGAAAGTGAACAAATACTCTGGGACGGAGGTAGTATAAGATACCTCATTTGCATACAAAGATATTCGAAAAAAATTGGTATCAAAAGGAACACCAACATGAGATACCTCATTCGCATACCAAATTAACACTGACATGTGCAGATATATAAGGTCTGTATATGAACAGACATTATTGTGTATCAGTGTGGTCTGTGTTGGTGTGATATATACTATCTCCGTCCCAGAGTATTTGTCCACTTTCATTTTTACACACCATCTAATACACTTCTTTAATCCATTTTATCTTGTAATTTGTATATTAAAAAATTATAGAAATTATATATTAATAATCTATATGTTAAGACAAATCAAGCAAGATCACACATGACTATATTTAGGCTTACACATGGAGAGAATTTGATGAGTCAAAGTGATTAGATGAACAGTTCCAAAAATCAAAAGTGGACGAATACAGTGGGACGGAGGGAGTGTATGATACCAATTTTGGTGCAAGTGTGGTATGGTCTTAAAATAAATTTGGGTAGGCATATGGGGGCGTAAAAATGTACGGAATAAAGTAATAGCGGGAGGAGTCGGTTGCCCGTGGTGTAAAGCTGGAAAAGGTGGTCGGTGGGTCCCGTGCGACTTGGTTGGAGTATAGTGAATTAGTGATTCTTACTTTCTTTCTTCTTCTTGTGCTGCGCTGTCCGCCCTTTCTTTATCAATCCATACACGTTTCGTATCTCTTCAGTTACTCCATCTCTCTTTCCCCGTCTCCTTCCTCCTTGGACTTAGAATCACCCACCCACCCAACTCACTGGATACGTACAGAGCCTTCTCCTCTTCCCTTTCCTCTTTTAGACTTTTCTTTTCTTAGCTTTTACTCACTCGACTTTCCATTTATTAATATGAATAATTATTTCCTCTAATCAAATAAAGATTAAATTACTACTACTACATCTTTGCCTTCAATTCTTTGGCGTTGGTTGGTATATATGTAGTGCTTTTTTTAATTTATAGCAAACTTCATTTATTTCCCCTCCTCTGCATTTTTTCTTCTTTTTAATTTATGGGTCTGCGTCGTCTGCCTTTAATATAAAGATCTGTAAAACCTGTTTTTTTTTCTTTTGGTTATTTTTCTCTAGTGCAATTCTTCTTCTTTTTATTTGCCGCCACCGACACTTCCGCGCCCATGTTTCAACGAATCATCAAGATTGGTTTCTCATCGTTTTTCTTCTTCTGATTCCTTCCCCGCCCCCCCATCTAACATCCATTATTCTTACCTTGTTCATCAACTTGTACTTCTTCTTCTTCTTCTTCTAAAGGTGGAAACTTTGAGGGAAAACTGTGTCTGGGTCAACTCTAATTTGTTCTTCTTCTTTTTTTCGGATTTTAATTTGGGTCGGTCGATCGAGTATATATATAGTATAGTATATAGATACGCGCGCAGCTGGAGGGAGGCCAAGATAGGATGATGCGGATGAAGACAAACCCCGCCGCCGTTCCTCTGCCGGAGATGTCATCCGGAGGCTCTCGTGTTGCCGGCGGCGGCGGCGGCAACAGTGATTGGGAGATGAGGCCCTGCGGGATGCTTGTCCAGAAACGGAACACTGATTCAGATGACCGCCCCGCTCCTCCCACTATCCGGGTCCGGGTCAAATACGGGTCGGTCTACCACGAAATCAACATCAGCTCCCAAGCCACCTTCGGTAATATATCAATTATTCAACGATCTGCTTCTCTATAATCTTCTTCCTATAACCTATTGTATAATTCATTCAAAAAAATGAAAGGTGTGGTTGATTGGAATTCTGGCAGGGGAGTTGAAGAAGATGTTAACAGGGGCGACAGGGTTGCACCACCAAGATCAACAGCTGCTGTTCAAGGACAAGAAGATGGACTCCAAAGCATTTCTTGACATTTCTGGGGTTAAAAACAAGTCCAAGATCTTGCTCGTTGAGGACCCAATCAGCCAAGAAAAGAGGTATATTGAGATGAGGAAGAACGCTAAGATGGAGAAGGCTGCAAAGACCGTATCAGAGATCAGCTTGGAGGTCGATAGGCTCGGTGGCCAGGTAGGTGCAGTACACTGATTATCTCTTTCTTTCTTTCTTCTGATCCAATATCCATCAATAAGTTCTTTGTTGTGGGTGGCGTTATAAGCAGGTTTCTGGGCTTGAATCTGTAATTTCAAGGGGAGGGAGGGTCGAGGAGAAGACGATAATAACGCTGATCGAGTTGTTGATGAATCAGCTCCTTAAATTGGATGGCATTCTTGCTGAAGGTGATGTCAAATTGCAGAGGAAAATGCAGGTAATTAAGTGTATATATATGTGTGTATTGGATGTGTTGAAAATCAAAAGGTTCGATTTGGTTAATAGGATTTGTGTTTTCAGGTAAGAAGAGTTCAGAAGTATGTGGAGACACTTGATAAGTTGAAAATCAAAAATTCAATGCGGGCGAGCAGTAGTGGCAGTAGTAGTAGTAGTAATAGTAATGGGGAGGAGGATGGGAGTTCAACGCCGTTGCAGGCTGCTGCAGCGGCAGCCAGCAATAACGGGAATCATAAACAGCCTGTCGTGATAACGACAAAATGGGAGACGTTTGATCATGCCCCATCACGTCAAGGAACGCCGGCTCATCGTGCTGGACCCACATACAGCTTGATTTGATTATTGTGTATTTCATCAGCCCTCTTCTTCTTCTTCATTCTTTGTTGATGTGTTGTTGGTTTGGTACCTGCAGATGCTGCTGCTACAAAAAAGACTATATATATATATATAGTCTCCATTCTTTTGTGTATGTAGAGGTTTTGTTAGGATTATCATTCCTCAAACCCCCCCTCCCTCCCTGTGTTTGAATGTGCCTATATATTGTCATGTGAAATAATTGGGATATTCTTTGGTACCCCCTCGTGATGTACTAGTATGTGTTTGCATTATGGATGTATTTCTTGGATTTTCCAGTTATGGGGATGAGCTATATTTGATTCTGATTGTTTCCTTTCTTTGTCTAGTAGCTCTCTTTAGGCTTATCTATATTTGACGGATCTATCTCTAACATGGTGCGACACTAATTAACATAGCTTACCGCGTTACAAAAAACGTTGGTCAACTTTCAATCTCTTGTCAATATCATCTATGAGAGACATATTTTTAGTTTCCTTGTATAAATTCTATACAGTTCAATAATTAAAACATGTTAAATATCTGTTCTCTAATTAAAATTTTGAAATCTTAAATTGTTAAAATTTGTTACTCACTCTGTATTAGATAAATGTACATTTTTTCCAAGAATAGGTTTTGCTATAAATTTGTGTTAACATTTTAATATCTAATATATGGTTAGGCGTTACATATATATATATTCTACAGTGTCATTCCAACTTGAATCTTACTTAAGAATCACTCTTAATTAACCAAATATCTTGACCTATAATTCACCCTCCTAAACCAAGGGAGTAGTCGATCGAAATCAGAATTTATCTTTTGGAAGTTTTACAAATGAGGTAAAACTCAATTTAGCATATAGCTTCGAATCTAATTTTCTTGCGCGAGTTGATACTATGGAGTATATTCGTAGCCATCTACTATACGAGAATATGCTTATTTTGTACAAAAGCAAAGCAAGACACAAAAAAACAACATAAAACAAGTCTAACATGCAAAGCTTAAAGAATAATGAGAACATTTGTGATGAAGACTTTCAAGATACTCCCTAATAAATAAATACATATTTATATGCATGCGTGGCTCCTTGTCTTGGACGTATTTTTGGCCATTGGCTCTTAACATGTGTGGAGTAACATTCTTCGAACTTGAGACAAAGGACAAAAATATATAGCCAAGACAAAAAAAAAAAAGAAACTTATTGTTATCATAAGCCATGTGAGGCAAATCAACTCTATCCAAGAGAAAGGGAAACACTTGTAACTCTCAAATCCATTATTCCCAAGTGCTAGACAATGTATAAGGAAGGACATTACTCATAACATGGGTAAACCTAAACAAGTGGTCACGTATTCTTTTCTTATCTCTTTCAAGTTAAGAATAGCATAAATTTCATTGTCTCCCGTTCTCACGTGTAGAACATTCGACAATCCTTCCCTCCAAGTGTGTTAGATGGGCTCAAACTTTCCCATGTGCAAGAAAGACGAGAGAAGGCATTGAATTGTCCTAAAATTACATCCCAAACAACTCTTTAACTATTGGGCATATATTTGCATTGTGTTAGAATGAGTAAGAGTGAATACTCGTTTCCCTTTGTTTGGGAGAAATCTTTGTAGTAGTGAAAAAGAGTAACACTTTACTCATTCACTCTCAAAGAGTTGTAACACTCTAAAGTGATGACGAGTAAGATGTACACCATCAAACGAGCTTTTTGTTACTCTTATTTACACCCAAATTGAACTAAGTGCCCCCATGTGGTTTCCTTTTTTTTTGTCATGGATACATCACTTTGAAAGTCATTTTCATTCTTTGTATATCTCGAACTTTATTTGGTACTTGGTGGACCAAACGTGCAACTCTAGGTTAACAAGGCCTCCGACGGCAAACCACAAACTGTGGCACTCTGTGTGTTAACCACTTTGGGCACAGCAGATGCTATAATTGAAATTAGGCCTAGCACATACAAGTCAAGCAAGGAAAATAGGGGTCCAAAACACTCTTTGTTCATATGTTTTCACCCGAAGGCGCCAACAATACCTAAAGGACCAAAGTCTCCCCATAAAAAATTGAATAACCAGTTCCAATATTCAAACATCTAAAATGCAACCCAAGGCAGAAAAAGGTGTCGGCCATTGCAGGTAAAATGCAGTAATGGTAAATATCAAAACGAACATCTGAAATGACAAAGGTAAAGAAGAAATGGTATCACAGCACTGGACCAGCACACAGCAGCACATTCCATGAATTTCATCAACAGGGAGAACTCTCTTAGGATGAGGATGAACGACTGCATTACCCAGCAAAATACATTATTTTAAGCAAATTGTAAAAGGTTGGCTGTTAGATAAAATCACGAGTAAATATCTATCTTCAGAGTAAAAGAGTAAGCAAAGACACCTCTTGTATATTTCATGTGGACTTTGACTTTCCCTCCTAAACTCAGGATCATTTATTTCAGGGTTTAAACCAGGCGCTTCAATTCCACCTTGATGACTTGACTTCTCTTGTATTTCTCTTTGATGACTCGGGCTGTGTCCAGGAGTATATTCAGGACCTCCCCTTTCTGGAGGACTGTTAGCATGCCCATTTTCAGGACCAGCCCTCTCCCTGCTAATGTCTGGACTAAGGTCGCGTGCCTGTTCAACATCCCTTCCTCTTTGGTGTGGACTATAGTAACGGGCCCGTTCAACATCCCTTCCTCTGTAGTAAGGACTACGGTCACTGGCCTGTTCAACATCCCTTCCTCTGTGGTGTGGACTACAGTCACGGGCCCGTTCAACATCCCTTCCTCTGTGATTAGGACCACGGTCATGGGTGCCGCGTTCAACATCCCTTCCTCTTTGATTAGGACTACGGTCACTGGCCTGTTCAGAATCCCTTCCCCTGTGGTGTGGACTACAGTCACGGGCCCGTTCAACATCCCTTCCTCTGTGATTCGGACTACGGTCACGGGCGCCGCGTTCAACATCCCTTCCTCTGTGATTAGGACTACGGTCACTTGCCTGTTCAGAATCCCTTCCTCTGTGGTGTGGACTACAGTCACGGCCCCGTTCAACATCCCTTCCTCTGTGATTAGGACTATGGTCATGGGCCCGTTCAGAATCCCTTCCTCTGTGGTTAGGGCTAAGGTCACGGCCCTGTTCAACATCCCTTCCTCTGTAGTTTGGACCACGGTCACGGGCCCGTTCAAAATTAATTCCTCTGTGATTAGGACTATGGTCATGGGCCCGTTCACTACCAAAATACCTCTCATTCCTACTACCATCTGGACTACGGTTGCAGGCCCGTTCAAAATCCCTTCCACTGTTGTTTGGACTACGTTCACGGGCATTGCCGGGACCAGCCCTCTCCCGTACAGGACTGTGGCTAGAAGCACTTCCATTACCAGAATACCTCCTCTTCTTAACATTAGGACTACGGTCACAGGCCGATTCAATTTCCTTTCTACTGTTAGCTGGGCTTGAACCAGGTCTACAACCATAATCAGGACTGTGCCTTTCTCTATGATATGGAATGGACCTATGTCCCCGACCATAGTCAGGACTGGACCTATGAACCCCACCATAGTCAGGACTGGCCCTCTCTCTCCTATACGGGCTTCGAGATCGTTCCCGGTCATTACCATCCCTTCTTTGAAACTTGTCACGACCTCTATCAGGACTGCGTCCGTTTCTCCCATCACCCACGTCATCATCTTTGATAGCATATTCCACAGTAATGACACGATCCATCACTTTACTGCATATACAACAAAGGGACATGGAGTTATTAGTTATTACATTAAGGGTCACTTGGAAGCCAGAATTTACTAAGTAAAGACAATATATGAAGTAAGATTAGAAGGGAAGAAAATTGGGAGGAAATAAAATAAATGGGGGAAACTTTTGGCATGTTCCGTAATGTGCATGTTGATCTTCAATATCAATCATGTAATGGACGTGACAATAACAAAAATCAAAAAACCATTACCTTCTCATGACAATTTTTGCACATGTAAAAATAACTTATGATGAAGGTTTTATAATTTTGATCTCAAAGTTCCTTATTACGAAGGCTGCAACAGAAAGGTCATCATATGTCATACATTGTCACTGTTTTTTCATGAATGTATAATGTTACTCAATGTTATACAGTTATTTGACAAATTTAATTTTAATATCACCAAACCAAACCTTTTGAAATTAAGCGCTGATTTTGTTGATAAACAAATGCAAATATTTGTTCAAACTCATTTTATTTATTGTTTCTTTCTATTATAAAAACAATGATATACACACACACACACACACACACATATAAAGATCGAGAATCAAATCATATTTAGTGTTACCTCAAATTTTCCAAAGCCCAAATATACGGAAGTAGAACATAACATTTGGGGAAAGACACAAATGAATGAAAAAATAAGAGTAAAAGAGCAACGGTGTGAATGAACCTCAAGTGTGTAGCATCCAATGCTTTAGTGGCATCTTCTTGAGTTTCAAACTGAATGAATGCAAAATTCCTTCGGATCCTTATGTTGAGTATTTTACCATATGGCTCAAAGTGCCTCTCCAAGTCCCTTGTCCGAGTATGGTAGGGATCAAAATTGATGACAAACAAAGTCTTTGAAATCCTAGTGCCACTGGTAGATCTCCTGGTACTCTCATGGCGCCTGCCTCGTTCTTCCTGCATCAAAATCATAAGAACGGCTAAATACTACAGGAAGCGAAAGAAAGTAGATAACACAGAGGCATACACCTGACCTTTGCCCACTCAACACGGAGCTTACGTCCTTTTCTGCCAAATTCCAGACGGTCAAGTCTTCGTACAGCATCATCACCATTTCTTTCATCATCCATATACACAAAAGCAAATCCTATCCAAATTAAGAAAAAAACTTCTTAATTGAAAACTCGCATGAAAATAATGGTTAAGAATCCTCACACAAGAGGACTCTTTTGCAACGCGCAAATAAAATCATCCAGCAGATCTCTGAACCATCTAGCATATCACTCTCATTACAAGAAAAAGGCAATGGCAAATCTAGATACTATAAAAACCAGAAACAATCAGTAACAGACCTTGAACATTGGACTAATTGATGTCAAGGAACAAGAATCGAAAAGTGGATGTCTCATGGTGGGAATGTAGTGAAGGGAGAGCCTTCTCCATATTATTCTTCTACCTCAGCTTCGAGGCCGGCATTAAGCATGGCAATGAAGGCAGGGGAGAAGTGATGATGAATGGATGGTACTAATGACAAGGAAAATGCATGATGGTGGTGCCATGATGGATCATATAGCTCTTTTAAACAAGAGTGTGCTTGTCACATCCAACAAAAGAAATGAAGACCTTGTCAACCAGCCATGAATGTATGAACATCACAATATTATCCTGCGCCAAAGAATCAGTTGAGAATTGGGGTTTACACTAAATCAAAATATACTGTTTCCTTTACCAATATCCATATTTATGACACCCTGAAACATCTCAATAGAGAGTGATTTTGTAAAGCTGCATCATCTTGAATTGAAGATAGATACTCTGCTGTGTAGTAGCCTGCTTCTTGCAGACCAATGCTAATGCTCTGAGCCCTCACGCCCATTGCTGAGTTTCTTAAAAAGACCTCAACAGATTTATTTACCCACCAAAAGAAGAAGTCTCTCCAGTGTGGTTGGCCAAAACAGATTGAGAGTAAGCCAGATCAGATCTGGCTTTGACCACGTCAGCATTATCTTCTACTTTATTGTAGTGCAATGAAACATCTATGCACAAGTTACGTATTGTCACAGCGAACAGACGCTTTGTTTATAGAGATATGGAAGCAGTATGTTGATAGGAGTCTACAAAAATCAGAACCATCGCTGCAGTAGCTTGCCGCTGGTCTTTTGGGGTTGGAATTCAGACCTTCATTGTTGGCACTCACCCAAGGACCCCGTAGCATAAGCTCAAGCCCATTGCATTTAAGGAAGTTGTACACATAATTTCTAGAGTTACTAATTATTTCCGGAATATGGATCGACACAAAAACCATTCTTGAAGGAAACAGTGTTGTGCTTAAAAGATTCCCACGACAAACGAAATGCATGAACGATTAGCTTGATCTAAGACAAACCACCAGTTTACACATGAAATCTTTCAAAAATGTTATCATTTGATTCTTTTTATGAAACTAGAATTTATAAGAGTAAAAGGCTCAAACTTAACTAAATTGATGAACAGTTCAATTGAATAAACCAAATCCACTATAAGTAACTACTTTGTTAAGCTCTAGAGCACAAGTTACAACTTTACATAGTGCATGGTGTGTGTTGTGTGGTGGTGGTGGTGGGGGGGGGGGGATAACTGGAGTCACAGAA